CACACAAGAAAATTTTATATTTTTGTGTTTTTTAATTTTCTTGCTAAGATGTTTGTATTAACACACATATAAGAAAATGTAAAAATTTTGAGGTTTTTAATTTTTTTGCCAATATGTGTGTACTAACACACTTAAGAAAATGTTAAATTTTCTAGTTTTTTAATTTTTTTGCCAAGATGTGTGTACTAACACACACAAGAAAATATTAAAATTTTCAGTTTTTTTAATTATCTTGTCAAGATATGTGTACTAACACAGACACAAAAAAAGTTAAATTTTTGAGTTTTATAATTTTCTTGCAAGATGTGTGTATTAACACATATACAATAAAATGTTAAATTTTTGAGTTTAATTTTCTTGTCAAGATATGTGTATTAACACACACAAAAAAATATTACAAATTTTTTAATTTTTCTTGCCAAGATGTGTGTTTTAACACACACAAGAAAATGTTATTCTTTTGTATTTTTTAAAAAAATTTTGGTCAAGATATGTGTATTAACACACACAAAAAATGTTAAATTTGCTTTTTTTTTTTACTTTTTCTTACCAAGATGTGAGTATTAACACACACAAAAAATGTTATATTTTTGAGTTTTTTTTAATCTTCTTGTCAAGATATGTGTATTAACACACATATAAAAAAATACAAATTTTTCTAGTTTTTTTATTTTCTTCCCAAGATGTGTTTATTAAGACACACACACATGAAAATGTTAAATTTTCGTGTTTCTTTCTGTGAATTTTCCTCCTAACTTTGTAAGACTAATTTTTTTTATTTTTTTGTCAAGATGTGTGTATTAACAAACACACAAGAAAATGTTAAATTTTCGAGTGTTTATATTTTTGTCTATATATGTGTATTCACAAACCAAAAAAATGTTTAATTTGTGAGTTTTTTATTTTTCTTGCTGTGATGTATGTATTAACACACACACAAGAAAATTTTATATTTTTGTGTTTTTTAATTTTCTTGCTAAAATGTAACACACATATAAGAAAATGTAAAAATTTTGAATTTATTTTTAATTTTCTTGTGGATATATGTGTACTATCACACACACAAAAATGTTAAATTTTTGAGTTTTTTAATTTTTTTGCCAAGATGTGTGTACTAACACACTTAAGAAAATGTTAAATTTTCGAGTTTTTTAATTTTCTTGCCAAAATGTGTGTACTAACACACACAAGAAAATGTTAAAATTTTCAGTTTTTTTAATTATCTTGTCAAGATATGTGTACTAACACAAACACAAAAAAGTTAAATTTTTGAGTTTTATAATTTTCTTGCAAGATGTGTGTATTAACACACATACAAGAAAATGTTAAATTTTTGAGTTTAATTTTCTTATCAAGATATGTGTATTAACACACACAAAAAAATATTATAAATTTTTTAATTTTTCTTGTCAAGATGTGTGTTTTAACACACACAAGAAAATGTTATACTTTTGAATTTTTTTTTGAATTTTTTTGTCAAGATGTTTGTATTAATGCACACAAGAAAATATTCAATTTCTGAGTTTTTGAATTTTTTGGTCAAGATATGTGTATTAACACACACAAAAAATGTTAAATTTGCTTTCTTTTTTTTTTCTTGCCAAGATATGAGTATTAACACATATAAAAAATGTTATATTTTCGAGTTTTTTTTAATTTTCTTGTCAAGATATGTGTATTAACACACATACAAAAAAATATTAAATTTTCTTGTTTTTTTATTTTCTTGCCAAGATGTGTGTATTAAGTTATTAACACACACACAAGAAAATGTTAAATTTTCGTGTTTCTTTCTGTGAATTTTCCTCCTAAGTTTGCAAGACTAATTTTTTTATTTTCTTGTCAAGATGTGTGTATTAACAAACACACAAGAAAATTTTAAGTTTTCGAGTATTTATATTTTTTGTCAATATATGTGTATTCACAAACAAAAAAATATTTAATTTGCGAGTTTTTTATTTTTCTTGCTTTTATGTGTGTATTAACACATACACAAGAAAATTTTATATTTTTGTGTTTTTTAATTTTCTTGCTAAGATGTTACACTTTCGACCATATATATGAGTCAATTGACATATACAGTTGTTGCTGCCGCTTCAAAAGCCCAGTGGTAAACCTTCAGCTCCAAATCACTTCACATTCCCCATTTCATCCCTCATGATCCTACCTACAACACTTTGTTCTGATTTAGTGGATCAACATTACATTTAAAAAGTACCACATAGAGGAAGGACTCCATGTCTCCATCTCTTAATAGTATGTGACAAATAACTAAAACATCATACTTTCAAAAACAGCTTTCCTCAAGTAAAATGTAGAAACTTAATATTCATATTGTATTTTTATTTTGGTTAATTAGTATTCTTTTTATTTTAATTTTCTAACTTCTGTTGACACCATAAAGGCATATATAGACAAAAATAGTTTCACCATTTTGTACTGAGTTGTATATACTATCATACATTCTCTCAAAGAACTAATCAGACCAATTTCAAATGTAATCTAACTGTCAAAAACGACGAAAGTAAAGAGCATCTAATTAACTGGTGTTTGCATGCATAGTTGATGAATCTATGACAAGTATGAACATTGCACCAAACGGGTATGTTTTTTCTTCAACACATTAAGCCGGCAATGTGAAAAAGAGGTGATGTATCTCCATTTGAATTCTTATCTCAACAGATTTTAATCCATTCTACACCTATCAAATGAACGTCTACAGAAATTTCTTGTGGAAAACGACATGTACACGGCATCCCAAGACCAATTAGTAATATGTTTTAGTGGTGATTATATGTTTACTTATCCAATTGAGAATTTAAACCATCGACAATACCTTAATGTCGATGAAGCCGTCCCCACTCCGTGTAATGAGTTATGGGGGTGGTAGAGATCCCGTAAATTAAATCGTCAAATAAAACAACTTAGAACAAGAAATCGACAACATATATTATAAAGAAAACGTTGAAGAAGTCATTTATCGTATACAGCTCATATTTCCTAAGATCAAATCAAGACCGTTGATGAAAGGACTTATAAGAAAATGTTGAAGAAACCGTGGGTTTTAGAAGAAAGACAAGAAAGAGAAGAACAATGATGTCAAATTGCCTATTTTGGTGTATAGGAGCTGTCAAAAGAAGAGAGAGAGAGTGTGTGTGAGAGGAGAAAATTAGGTCAAAATAATGAGCACTAAAAATGGAGACATGTGTTGAGTAACTATTACAAGAGCGACTTATGCTTCCATATGGCAATGATATCCTTACTGAAGTGCAATGCTCCTTTTTGCCCTAATTTCGTAAAGTCTCTCTCCTTCTTCGTCCTTAGGAAAAACCCTAAATTTAATCCCTCGTTCGTGATCTTGCTTTTTGAGTAACCATGATTTTGACCACACACTATTTCTTCTATCTTTTGTGGTCTATAGGATTTTGCTTTATATGTGTTTCTTGTATTGCTCCGTACGTACGTATACAAATTTAAATGGTTACAACAAGGTTTATATAAACAAGCACAATTTAGTCCATGAAATAAGTTTGCATAAAAGGTAGAAATATATGAGTCTTTAAACGGAAATATATAAATTTGCTGCAAAACTTATCTTTAGGCCTTTAATGATCTGATCATAGTTTCCTTTGTCGACATGTACTGATTTTCGGGAAAGTTATGTGTCCAACTCTTAAAATGATATTTTATATAAATTTATTTAACCAAATTAAAAAATTGATATTTTTCAGAATTAATCTTTTTAAAAAGTTAAAATATTTGTTATAACTATTAGGATAAACTAATAATGTTATATATGTACATTTGTTTTTTTGCTATATCTGATAATTTTGTTTTTATCTCGGGTGCTAGCTAGTCACACTAACAGTTTGTATAAATAAAAAGTCATTGTTGATTTTTTTTTCTTAAACATTCAATTTGATAATATATATTTTTATTTTTACGTAGATGTTTTGAATATAAAAAACCGTTCATTTGATATATATCTCAAATTGTAATTAAAATATCTTTTTGCCGGTGATGTTAGAATATTGATGAATCGTACCTGATTAACTACTCGGGCGTTGGAATATAAAGATAAGCCAGAAGTATTAAGACCACATGACATAACCATTTAAAGTTCAATAAAAACACAATTAAACACATGAGGAAAACAAGTTTGAATCTTAGTACTAGACATCTCAATGTATATGATGAAATTCTTGCAAAAACAAACACAACATACAAAAAGTTGAATATTGTGTGATATTGAAATCCAAAATATAGTGTGGTTAAATAGTACGTAGTTTTTTCAGGTTTTCACGTTTTGAAAATGAGATTTCATTAAATGCATACCATTCACAACATTAAGCACTGAATAATAAAAAGTTAAAATTAACACGCTACTTTTCGATCCATCACGCACGTTTTAAATTTATAACTAGTTTAGAGAAAATTCTATTTATCTAATAGATACTAAATTTTTAATGTCTTAAGTTTATTCAGTTTTCAGTTTACTCATCCTATTAATTCTGCTAATTTATTATTTAACTATTATGCTATTAAATTGACGTACCAGTCAAACATAATGTCAAAACACTAATATGTTTGGCTTAAAGATTTTTTTGTGTGTGATTGTTAATAACCTTTTCACAAATATTCTTTTGATTAATCCAAGCACATCTAATTAGGATACATAATTATACACTTTACTCGTTTTACTTCATTCATATAATAATGCGAAAGATACGCATTCGTACACTGGCATTGTACATGACAAAAACTAATCGAGTCGAGGAACTCAGTAACTACATATAGAGGTTTTTTTTTCATGATGACATGTATATATATATACATATACATATATATGGCGCTTATTAGATAATAATATATATTAAGAAAAAAGAAAGATGAAGATAGAAAACTAGTATATATGTATATAAAGAAAGGTCTATGCGTCACTTATCTAAAAACTCGGTATGTTTGGCTCAAAAGCAGATCCACCCATAACCCCAATAGTCATGATGGAGCCTCAACCTCATCATCTCCTCATGAATTGGAACAAACCTAATGATCTCATCACACAAGAATACCCCTTTCTCCACGATCCTCATCTCATGATAGATCCACCTCCCGAAACCCTAAGTCATTTCCAGCCCCCGCCGACACTTTTCTCCGGTCACGGAGGGGAGGAAGAAGAAGAAGAAGATAATGAAGAGGAAGAGATGGATGCGATGAAGGAGATGCAGTACACGATCGCTGCCATGCAGCCCGTGGACATCGATCCAGCCACCGTTCCTAAACCGAACCGCCGTAACGTAAGGGTAAGCGACGACACTCAGACGGTGGTGGCTCGTCGGCGTCGAGAAAAGATAAGCGAGAAGATCCGAATATTGAAGAGGATGGTGCCAGGCGGTGCGAAGATGGACACAGCCTCCATGCTCGACGAAGCCATCCGTTATACCAAGTTCTTGAAACGGCAGGTGAAGCTTCTTCAGCCTCACTCTCAGCTTGGAGCTCCTATGTCTGACCCCTCTTGCCTTTGTTATTACCACAACTCCCAAACCTAATATATATATTCTATCAAGCGTTTTCACGTATTTCGATCGAAAATTGTATGGTTATTGTCAGATAAATAATTTTATGTGTGTCCTTAAATATATTGATATATGATATATATATTCATCATTGCTGGATGTATTCCATTATATATTTGAGATACGTAATAGGGGTTATAGGTTGATCGTGTGCAAGTTTTTCCGATCAAGAATATAGAAAATACTTGTTTGAATGTAATTTTACCAATTATGTGAATCGAGTGCAGTTACTATATAAATATATACGAATATGCAAAAAGAATTGAGTCTTTTCTCAGATCCCTGATATTATAGCTACTACTGAAACGATATATATAGAGAGAAGAACAAAATCGTCTCTACTACAAATCAATCAACAACTGAACAAATTTCTAATTTGAAAGGATTATTTATCAGAAGATCTCAAAACCATATGGATAATTAAACTCTAATAAATCTTAACTAGAATAGTAAATGTATAGTATATAAAGGCACGTACTACTTATAACTATATATATCGTGCATCATAAATATGCTAATTCGTTTGATCGGGAAGAATGTATGGAATGTTAAATGTACTTATGAATTGATCAAATTAATGATCACTACAAGATTGGGATGCATATTCAAAAAGTATGTGTCAAATGTAAGGTTTGAATTATCATAAACCTTATTTTGGATTCTCAAAGGTACACCTCCAATCTTTCTCGATCTCAAATTTACAATTATATGTTGTTACCACCGATTGCTTCACGGCAACGGAACCGACAAAGGACTGATTGCTTTTGCTTTCATTCATTTTTTTTTTTTTTGCCATGAAACCAATTTTATTAGGTTGATCAAATTGTTAACACATTTTGTAACACTTAAACCTATCTTTTTTTTAATGAATATTTGTCATTTAGCAAAAAAAAAAATATGTTGTTTTGTAAAATCAGAAGCGGATAAGGAAAATCAAAACGTTTCGAACATGAAAATAATTTTTGGAAAAACGAATATATGCTTTGTTAATAAAAACCATTATCTAGACCACTATGAATTTTTCTCTTCCCGTCAAGCGGCCATATGTACGTACATATATGTTTTAAACATTTTTTTTTTGTTAAAGCATGTTTTTTTTAAACATTTACGCTGATATATACAAAAAATGGTAAAGTCACCAAAGAGCTCTTGAGAGCGATTAATATTTTGTATATAGGCTATATAGCCTCGATTATTCTAGACTTCTAGGTTTAGGTAATGTTCCTAGTGATCAGGGGAAACAAAGTGAACGTACGATTGATATTTTTAACACAAAGTGAAATATATATATCCTTACATGTTACGTTTCCAAAAGAAAAAATGACAAGTACATTTTCAAAGAACTTGACAATTTGTAATGCGAAAATATTTCTGAAACAGAAAACAAATTTGGCGAAGTTTTATGGGGGAATTCCTCTTTATAACTTAAAAGTTGTTTTTTTTTTCAATATGTAATCCTCTTATTGAATGTTTGGCAAAACTAACCCAAAAGAGTAATGAAATTACAGCTCCGTCCTTTGTGACTAAACAAAAAACGTCTGCCACAGTTACGATTTTATCCTTCGAGAAGTCTACGTAAGAAGTCTACAATCGTTGTAGACTTCAAAAGAAGTCTACTACATAATTAGTTTTCAAAAAATTAATTAGAAAATATAAAATAAATAAATTTCTGAAAAATTGGTAAACATAAGTAAGACATATATATTTGACATGTATAGAATACAAAATTTCATACAAATGAATCAACTTAAATGCAGAAAGAAAATTAACTAGAAAACATACAACCCCTTAGAAGTCTACTAAAGAAGTCTACTACATAAAACATACGTATGCAGTAGACTTCTCGGGTAGACTTCTCCAGTAGACTTAAAAAAAAACATAGCGGGAAATCAAAATTATTTAACAAATTGGGCGGGAATCGGAACAAATTAGGCGGGAATCGAAATCGAAAAAATATACCGAAGTAGACTTTTCGAGTAGACTTCTCCAGTAGACTTCTTAAGAAGTCAACTTAACCGAAAATTTTCCTTCATATATAAGGAGATTAACCTAATTGGGTTAAAAATAAAGTTTTTCTCTCCCTCTAAAAAATGCCTCTCTCTCCTCTACCTCCTCTCTGGCCATGAATCTATTCTCCTTCCTCTCTTGCCATCAAATACATCTCTATCCTCCATCCTCTCTATCTCAATTATGGTGATAGTAAGCAAATCTGAGGTTTTGTGTTTCTTTTGTTGTTTGTTTTGTGTTCATATTGTAAATCTGGGTTTATTATTACATATTTGAGCTTCTTGTTGTAGATCTGAGTTTATTCTTGCAAATATGTGCTTCTTATGGTATAAATTTTGTAGAATTTGTTGCAGATCTGATTTTTGTTGTTGTTGCAGATCTGATTTTTTTTTTTTGTAGATCTGAATTTTTAGTTGTTGCAGATCTGATTTTGTTTATTTTGTTGCAGATCTGAATTTTGTTTATTTTGTTGCAGATCTATAATTTTTTTTTTTGCATAGATGATTTCTTTTTTTTTCCCTTTAGCTGCAGATATGATGTTTGTAAATATAGCATATTTTGTTGAAATATGAATTTTAACATTTTTTTTTCTTATTGTGCAGACATGAGCTTATTTATTTCTCTTTTGTTTTTTGTTGGAAGCAGACTTCAGCTGCAGATTTCTCGAGTAGACTTCTCGAGCAGACTTCTCGAGCAGACTTCAGTCACATACATCTATTTCAGATATTTTGTTTTTATATGCTAATTTTAAGATTTATAATTAGTGATCTTTAAATGTTTGTTTGATTAGAAGGTCTACTTTATATGTAAAGTTGGATTGCAATTAATGTTATTTTTATATATTCTTAAATTATGTGTGTTTTATCATTTCAGATTTCATATGCAGACTTCTTTGTCAGACTTAGTCATCACCATCTTTGAACCTCTAATAACACAAGAAAATTAATTCAATTTAACTATACAAAAACATGTAAAACTCATAACAAAAAAAAACATGTAAAACTACTTAGAAAAACCACAACTAGTCTTTCTTCACACATTCTCAATAAACAGTGGGTATGTGAACTATTCTCTGTAAGAAAACAAAATTCAAACCACATTAGAAATCATTATCGAAAAAGTAGACTGCAAACGTATTCTACTATATAGACTTCAAATGAAGTCTGCAGACTATTAAGCTAAATACCAAATAAAAGAAGAAAATTAGTTAAAGCTAAATTGTAACAAACAAAATTTTCAAACTCATACATAAGCAAGAACAATAAATATCACACACTTAAGAGTCAAATAATAAATTTTATTTGTTACAAATATCTGATCAATTAAATTTATAAAAAATTAATGTCGCCGACTGCAAACGAAGTCTACTATGTAGACTTCAAGTGAAGTCTACAAACTAATAAGCTAAATACCAATTAGAACAAGAAAATTAATTAAAGTTAAACTATAAAAAATAAACATGTCAAACTCCTACATAAGTAAGAACATTAAATAATACACACTTAAGAGTCAAAGAATAAATTTTATTTGTTACAAATATCTGATCAATTAATTTAATAAAAAAATTAATGTCGCAGACTGCAAACGAAGTCTACGGACTAATAAGCCAAATACCAAATAAAACAAGAAATTTGATTTCCCCATATATATATATATATATATATAAACATGTAAAACTGATACAAATGTAAGTACACTTACTAAAACAATCGTAAGACCAAAAAAATCTTAATAATTCGTTGTAAATTTGATAAAAATGCGTTTATAAAAAAAAGTGAAATAATAGACTAACAACGAACTTTACAAAAGTAGACTTGCAATGAAGTCTACAAATGTAGACTTCGTATGAAGTCTATATTTTAGGTTACTTTTGCAATTGCCAAAAGATGAGTAGACTTCTTCAAAGAAGTCTACTCACTCCGAGAAGTCTACTCGAGAAGTCTATGTAAAAAAGGTTAGTTTTGCAATTGACCAAATTTTGACTTTTTCGTAAGAAGTCTACTTGCAAAAGTAGACTTCTTAGAGGTTAGTTTTGCAATTGACCAATGTTGACTTTTCAAAGTAGACTTCGTTTGAAGTCTACTTAACGAAGTCTACTTGGGTTAGTTTTGGGGTTGACCAAACATTGAATTTATTTTCGAGTAGACTTTTTTTGAAGTCTACTCAGAAAGTAGACTTCAAACGAAGTCTACTCGGAAAAGTAGACTTCAAGCGAAGTCTACTCGAAAAAGTCAACATTGGTCAATTGCAAAACTAACCTCTAAGAAGTCTAAGTTCAAAGTAGACTTCTCCGAAGAAGTCTACTTTTGCGAGTAGACTTCTTACGAAAAAATCAAAGGTTGGTCAATTGCAAAACTAACCCCTTTTTACGTAGACTTCTTTTGAAGTTTACACTATTTTTTTTTGTTATCAAAAGAAATGGCGCGTACTTCAACTGAAGTCTACTGTCAGAAATTGGTACATCCGGTCAATGGCAAAACTAACATGTGTGTTGACCAGCAGACTTCTTTTGAAGTCTACTTTCGCGGCACAGATCTGAAAACTCATGAAAATTGACTGAAAAATTACCTACCAGTGGTATTTAACTTATTCAACCACCGATTTCTTTGATTTCAACCACCACCAAACAAGCCCAAACGATTTGCCAAACCAAATCACCAAATATGGTAATATATTAAAACATCAAGTTTCAAAAATTTAGATTAGAGAGTTTTTGTGCTGGAAATGGTGAAAATGGAAGAGTGGAAGGTTAAGAGAAGAGGAAATGAGGTTACAAAGCTAAAAAAATGGGTCTTTGAAGCAATAAAAGCTTCAAATTGGTTGAAAATGGTGGTTGAATGAATTGATGGTGATTGCATTTTCGTGAATAAGTGAGGAAGATGAAGATTGTTTGGTAAAATAGTTTTCCGAAATAATAATAAAAAACAATAATCTAATGACATTTTCGTGAATAAATAGAACTGATAAAGATATAAGTGAGATAAAGTGGTTAATTTCAAAAGTGGTAAAATGGAAAGTTAGTTTAATAATTAACTTGAATTTATGGGTTATTTTTGCAAAATTATTGCAGCCTAACTTTCCTCATTTTTGTATCCAAAAAAACTTTTCTCTTTTTTCTGAAGATTGAATAAACGGAGCAGCAACGATTCAATTGAGAAGCCCGAAGTAATCTTAATAGTTTGGATCCAAAAAAGAAAAGAGTAATCTGAATCTGTGAATACTGGGCTTTTTCGGCCCAAGTAAAGTGCTGATCGATTAGTCGTACTTGACGACGCTGTTGCAATGGGGTTGTTGCACCAAACCGGCTTGACGGAGCCGCTTCACGACGTCATCAGTCCCGTCTTCTATAACAATATTCGCCTGATCAAAGGAAACGCAACAGTCAACAACAACCCACCCCCAGATCCAACGATCGTGATTTGGCTCCTCGACTGATCCGACGGTTGCCAGCCCCCTGAGGCCTCGCATGAGTTTTTGAATAAATTAACACCCAAAATCACCAAAAAAGAAGACACACTCTACAACGGCGAAGATGGCGTATACTTCATCGCTGACTGTTTCGCAGGCTTGCCTCGCTCGGCCCTCGGCAAAACGCTGCTCTTCTCTGCCTGCGAATCAGCACCTGTCCCTGTCTCCGCGGGATCTCCCTTCTTTTTCCGGTCTCAGAGTCAGATCCTACACACGCTCTCCTGCGCTCCGCCGCCTTCCGACGCGCTCTACGGGCCGGATACATGTGCGTGCCTCCGCCGCGACGGACGTGGCTGTGGTGGACAAATCGGTGAATACGATCAGGTTTCTGGCGATCGATGCGGTGGAGAAAGCCAAATCGGGACACCCGGGGCTGCCGATGGGCTGTGCCCCGATGGGTCATATACTATTCGATGAAGTGATGAAGTACAACCCGAAGAATCCTTACTGGTTTAACCGCGATCGTTTCATTTTGTCTGCCGGCCATGGCTGCATGCTCCAGTACGCCTTGCTTCACCTCGCTGGCTACGACAGCGTCAAGGTACGTTACCCCCTTTTTGATCCTTTTCCATTTCAATTTACTGAAAAGCTTTTCTGCGTCTGAGTATTTTTGGCATCAGGAAGAAGACTTGAAGAATTTCCGGCAGTGGGGAAGTAGGACTCCAGGACACCCCGAGAATTTTGAGACTCCTGGTGTTGAAGTCACCACCGGTTTGTTCCTCTTCTTGCCTTTAAACGGATCTTCTTCACTTCACTTCATGGCTGATGGCTCTTTTCTGTACAGGTCCGCTTGGGCAAGGAATTGCGAATGCTGTGGGTTTGGCACTTGCGGAGAAGCATTTGGCTGCGAGATTCAACAGACCAGGCAGTGAAATTGTCGACCATTACACGTAAAACCCCCATTTATGCGAGTGTGAGTGTTTTGTTGCTATTTGCTCAGTTTGGGCTAACTTAAAGTTTGGCTTCCTCTCTAGGTATGCTATTCTCGGAGATGGATGCCAAATGGAAGGAATTGCGAATGAAGCTTGCTCTCTTGCGGGGCACTGGGGTCTGGGGAAGCTCATAGCCTTTTATGATGACAACCACATCTCCATTGACGGTGACACAGAGATAGCCTTCACCGAGAATGTGGAAACACGTTTTCAGGGTCTCGGTTGGCATGTTATATGGGTCAAGAATGGGAACACGGGTTATGATGAAATCCGCGCTGCCATTAAGGAAGCCAAGGCCGTTCAAGACAAACCCACTTTGATCAAGGTACAATGACACGAATCTGTTTGATTCGTCTTTCACTAAACTGGATACCTCATGTCCTTTTGATTCATGTTCTTCCTGCAAAACAATCATGTGTAATGCTAAATTTGTTTGGTTGGTTTCTTGAAATTGGGGCAGATAACTACAACCATTGGTTTTGGATCACCAAACAAGGCAAACTCTTACAGTGTACACGGAAGTGCACTGGGTGAAAAGGAAGTTGATGCTACCAGAAAGAACCTTGGATGGCCATATGGGCCTTTCCATGTTCCTCAAGATGTCAAGAGGTTAGTGGCTTTACTTGAGTGTACAGATCCAAGTTAGCGTGATGTTAATGGCTCCATTGTTGTTTTTTGCAGCCATTGGAGTCGGCATATCCCTGAAGGAGCTGCTCTTGAAGCAGAATGGAATGCTAAGTTTGCTGACTATGAGAAGAAGTACCCACAAGAAGCTGCAGAACTGAGATCTATACTTAACGTGAACTTACCTACTGGCTGGGAAAAATCATTGCCGGTAAGCCTGAAAATCGAATCATCAAGTGCAAAGAGGAACAATTAAAGCTTTCTTTTTTTCTTGAAGCAAATTCAAGTGTTAATATGGAAAGAATGCTAATATGGTTTTGTTCTCACTCGTTTTCCAGACCTACACGCTCGAGAGTCCTGCAGATGCAACAAGAAACCTCTCCCAACAGTGTCTTAATGCCCTAGCGAAGGTTCTTCCTGGGTTCCTTGGTGGGAGCGCTGACCTTGCTTCATCCAACATGACATTGCTCAAAATGTTTGGGGACTTCCAGAAGAAGGCACCTGAAGAGCGAAACCTTAGGTTTGGGGTCAGGGAACACAGCATGGGAGCTATCTGCAATGGCATAACCTGTCACAGCCCGGGGCTCATCCCTTACTGCGCTACATTCTTTGTCTTCACAGACTACATGAGAGCTGCCATCAGGCTCTCTGCGCTGTCTCAAGCCGGGGTTATCTACGTAATGACCCATGATTCAATCGGTCTTGGAGAAGATGGACCGACCCACCAGCCTATTGAACACGTAGCGAGCTTCCGTGCCATGCCCAACATCTTGATGCTGAGGCCAGCCGATGGAACTGAAACCGCAGGGGCATATAAAGTTGCTGTAGAGAACAGGAAGAGGCCTTCGATCCTGGCGCTGTCGAGACAAAAGCTGCCTCATCTACCTGGAACTTCGGTCGAGGGAGTGGCGAAGGGAGGATACGTGATATCGGACAACTCGAGAGGTAATAGACCAGACGTAATCCTGATGGGGACAGGGTCGGAGCTAGAGATCGCTGCAAAGGCTGGGGAGAAGCTGAGAGAGGAAGGAAGAGCAGTGAGAGTAGTGTCGCTGGTGAGTTGGGAGCTGTTTGATGAACAAAGCCAAGAGTACAAAGAAAGTGTGTTGCCATCAGAGGTTTCAGCTAGAGTGAGCATTGAAGCAGGCTCGACCTTTGGGTGGGAGAAGATGGTTGGCTCCAAAGGGAAGGCCATCGGTGTCGACAGTTTTGGAGCAAGTGCACCGGCCGATGTGCTCTACAACAAATTTGGACTGACGGTCGATGCAGTTGTTGCAGCCGCCAAGCACCTCTTTGCTAATTAATCTCTCTTTTGGTCCACAAGACAATTTCAATGTTGTTGTTTTTTTGGTCAGTGTCCTTTTTCACACAGACTCGCTCACTAGTCACTATAAACATCAGCCCGTTCCCTTTTGTTAAGAATAAATGATGATGATAATGGAAAAGATAAACTGAAATTCTGAATGAAACCCATGACGCACAAGATTTGGGTAATTATGCCAAGCTAGTACTATTACTCCACTTTCTTTTACTTATCTACCGTTGGGGTTCCACGTGACGTGACCATCGTGGGTTGGGTTGCACATGTTCCTAAACATGTATTTGTGTGCGTAGATTTGTACTATCCTTATAGATGCGGACAACAACATTATGCATATGGATATTTACATCGAATTTGATGTATATCATTTTGTTCAAATTTTATATGCATACAAAATACATTTAATAGTGAAATCTATTTATACGATCATTAGATAGATATTAATTAGGAATAGTAATGCGGTAACAAATTTAGAGAAGAAGAAAAAAAACCAGTCGAAATTTCCTGAAATGAACAAAGCTTCATTGATTCAGAAGCCAAAGAAAATGAAATGCTAAAAAAAAAAACTAAGGAGTGATGTCTTTAGATACTAAACCTCATAAATGTAGAGGGGAGAGTGAAGTAACGAGAGAGTTGGTTTGACTATCCCTTGTCTCTTGCACTTTGACCACCACCATCTTCTTCTCTGCCTGCGTGTGAGTTTTTTTTTGGAGAAAGAAAGAAAAAAAAAAAAGCCAAAAATAGAAAAACAAAATCTTTGGGGGTTCTTGATCTTCCCTTGCAATTCGGAGGGCCTATAAACTCTCACCAAACAAACCCAATCATTATCGCCTCCTCAAGATTCTCGGGACGCCATTATCGCCCCCAATTGGAATTCATCCCGAGTTGGGTTTGAGATCTACCCTTCAAAGGTAAAAGTATATATCGAATCTGGGAAGATGAAGCAAATGTCGCATCTCGATGACTCTCCTTCCACGCCGGGCAAGTTCAAGATGGATAAATCCCCCTACTTCCACCGCACCCGGTGGCAATCCTCCGTCGCCAAGCTCGCCTTCTGGTCCCTCGTCTTCGTCGGCTTGATCTTCATCTTCTTCTACCGATCTCCCTCCTCCAATCCCGTCTCCTCCGATCCCTCTCGCCGCTCCCTCCGCACCTACTCCTGGGGAGGACCCGCTTGGGAGAAACGGGTCAGATCCTCCGCCCGTGTCCGTACCCGCCACGGCATCTCCGTCCTCGTCACCGGTGCCGCCGGTTTCGTCGGCACCCACGTCTCCGCCGCCCTCAAAAGACGCGGCGACGGCGTTCTGGGCCTGGACAACTTCAACGATTACTACGATCCCTCGCTCAAGAGAGCAAGGCAAGCCCTTCTCGAGCGAAGCGGCGTGTTCGTGGTCGAAGGAGACATCAACGACGCCGCTCTCCTCAGGAAGCTCTTTGAGGTCGTCCCTTTCACCCACGTTATGCATTTGGCCGCTCAGGCCGGCGTCAGGTACGCCATGGAAAACCCAAGCTCCTACGTCCACAGCAACATCGCTGGCTTCGTCAATCTCCTCGAGGTTTGCAAATCGGCCAATCCTCAACCCGCCATCGTCTGGGCTTCCTCCAGCTCCGTCTACGGTTTGAACACCAAAGTCCCCTTCTCGGAGAAAGACAGAACGGACCAGCCGGCTAGTCTCTATGCTGCCACTAAGAAAGCCGGAGAAGAGATTGCTCACACTTACAACCACATCTACGGCCTCTCCCTCACCGGTCTGCGGTTTTTCACGGTGTACGGTCCTTGGGGAAGACCAGACATGGCCTACTTCTTCTTCACCAGAGACATCCTCAAAGGGAAAACCATTTCAATCTTTGAGGGCGCAAACCACGGGACGGTGGCTAGGGACTTCACCTACATCGATGACATTGTCAAGGGCTGTTTGGGGGCTTTGGACACGGCCGAGAAGAGCACAGGGAGTGGTGGTAAGAAGCGCGGTGCCGCCCAGTTACGGGTTTTCAATCTGGGCAACACCTCGCCGGTTCCCGTGACTGATCTCGTCACCATCCTCGAGAGACTTCTCAAGCTGAAGGCCAAGAGGAACATTATGAAGCTACCCAGGAACGGCGACGTGCAGTTCACTCATGCCAACATCAGTTCCGCGCAGAGAGAGCTCGGTTACAAACCCACCACCGATCTCCAGACGGGCCTTAAGAAGTTTGCCAGATGGTATTTGGGTTACTACAATGGCGGCAAGAAAGCTGCAAGCTGATGGGTGATGTCATTCCCCTGAGTGTTGTAGCTGTGTAAGCCTCTCTTTTCTTCTTTTTTGATTCTTGTGATTGTTTCACCTTTTTTAACACTTTGTTGGTTCTTTGGCCGGCTCATACTCTCGCCTTTTCCGTATATGTTTTTACGCAACGATTTACACTCCCATAAGAAGCATAAATTAGAGATTACATTCTTAGCCACACTCCCATAATTACTATTCTGTTACTCGTCTCTTAAGTCAATAAACAACTTACTTCTTAGCTCTCAATCACTCAAATGGTATACTAATGGTTTTCAAAAGGGCATAGTTCCCGTGCTAGTTTCACGATTCTCTTAAGTAAGGAGCATAAGATGCAAAAGGATTCAATGGTAATCATATGATTCTCTCAGCAGTAAGCATAAGATTCAAAAGTAAGAGGCCAACAGATAGCAAATCATGACATATAGAGAGTGAAGTTCAGAAATCATCAAAACGAAAGGGAAGCAACAGAAGGCTTGTAGAGTCTTCCTCATCCCCAAAGCGGAACCTACTCCGGCTTAAGCCACAAGAGTGCTCGCGGTTGTGGATTCGCTGCACACGAAGAGTGTAAATGCACTAAGTCAGTGTTGAACATAGAGAACCGTTTTATGCAAAAATGGTTATAGATGACAATGTTGGACAAGTGCATTAGGAAATGATGATAGTTTATAAGGGATTCCAGACAAAACTAGCTATATCTAGGCAAAATTACTCAGTCCAGTTGAGTAATAGAGATTACTCAGTTATTGAAAACAAGATGTGACAGAAAACGTGTACTCACTACTTCCAGACGGGAGGGAGCTTCTTTGTCTTCTTGTAATAGCGAGCGAGACGGTGAATCCTGCTCTCAACCAAGATGAGCCTAAACTTGGAATCCTTGTCTTTCCTGTTCCTCTCAAGATGCTTACGGATGGCCACGGCCTTCTTAATAAGGTGGTAAAGATCCTCGGGGATTTCAGGAGCAAGGCCTTGCAAGTAATGTTCCAACAAAATGATAAGACACATGACAAAGCAGAAAAAAAGAAAGAGAAAGGTTGCTTATCGAAAACTCACCATGTGCTTTGAGTATCCTCAGGATCTTGTTTCCTGTGACACTCTTGACCTGAGGAATCCCGTGAGAGTCACGGAGAATAACACCAATCTGTGAAGGGGTCAATCCCTTTTTGGCAAATTTGCAGATTGATTCATCAACCTGTCACGTAAACGGATTCGTTCAAGCAAGCTACATCGTACTCTTATGGTTTCATGGCAAAACCAAACTATTAAAAACGAAACAAATTGAAATGTCCACAAAAAACTGCAACAGCCAGTTCCGGCAGAGATAAATACAAAGAAATAGAAAAGAGATCTTACATCCTGAGCGGTAATCTTGACCCAGCTCGGAGGCGTTCTCTTGTACGGCAACGCAGAAGCTGAAATACCCTTTCTACAAAAACACGATACCAACACGTTAGATTGCACAATTAACGTAACGACGAGGACGAGGACGACGACGAGGTAGAAGAACAAACCCACGACTATGCATACGACCCATAGTGCTAGATTCTCACAGCTCCCTCACACTCTCTCCTTTTGGATGCTGACTGCTGAGAATGACCAAGAGGAACGAACCCTAATTTCTGCTAAACAGGGCTTTTTAGGCGTTAAGAGTTTTTATATTTGAGATTTTCGTAGCCTTTACAAGTTACTGGCCCATTTTTGTTTACATGCCCATAAAAGGCCCACTATAACATTATTCAATTGGCCTCTCTTTTCGTTGTGTGCTGTTTAAAACTGTATCATTTGGAAGACGATGTAGAGTTTTTTTTTTGTAAATAGAGACAACTGGAAAGAGGATTAATGTCTTATTTATGCCAGCATTTTAAGCAAACATTCGAAATCTTAAAAAGCTGGAAGACACTTGGAGAGGTGACAAGAAGAAATTTGAAGCCTGCAACGTTCTTTGCACTAGTTTTTTGTTCTTTCTCACTAGGACTCCTCATTTAATTTAGCTCTAAACAAAGGACTTAATAAAGAAACATAAACATCTCTCTCTGTCTTTGAAGTCGTTTAAGTTGTGCCGTTGTATATTCCTCTCATGTGATGAAGGACTTTCTTTGTATACAAAGTCTACAACGATTGCGACTTTGGAGCTTCCCATAGCTTTACTTTTTTGTCAGCGCCTGCTGTCGCTAAAACCATGGTCTGCCTCTCCCCTGAACCAACAACACAAACTCCATCAACTCAGATGACAACATCACAAAACAACTCAGACAAAGGACTGATACATACCAATTCTGATAGCCTTGGGTGCCCACGAAATGCTTGTGATATCCCCTACACACAGCCCAAGATTGTTAGTACATCGATATTTTGAGGTTTTTGGAATAAGTGCAAAAGAGAAACTTGACAGCCTATTTTACCTTCGTGGGCTTTCTCAGCTGTGTCCAAGACATTCCCAGTTTCAGCACACAGCCACTGCAATGTGGAACCATGGCTTGCTGCCAATATCTTCCCCTCAGGGCACAAACTGAGACGATCATAGTGCAACGGATTGCCCTCCGGGTTGCAAAGTGGAATCGGGAACACCTTCAAAGTCTTTGGATCCTCATCAAGATGATACCGGACTTCAAACAAATTACACAATGCTTTCAGGTTATTTCTTTGTTTGATAAATGAGAATCATTCCATATAATCATGAAGCTCAAGCCAAGCTTCTTCCAGAGGCCCTACTAACTGTTAGGAGGAATCTCTTATGCATGTAATAACAATCAGAATGTTTAAAACAATTATACTAACCATTGATGTTCCAGAGTCTTATTGAACCATCTTTTGAAGCGGTGATGATTTTCTCTGAGTTTGGAGAAAAGCATAACCAAGTCACTGCACTCTGGATAGCATAGCATATAGGTTTAAACATGAAAATATTGCAAGAGAAATGTGAGAGAGGATGAATTGAAGCATGCTAATGCTACTGAATGGATACCTTGTGGCCTTTGAGTTGCATAACTCTTGAAACCTCCTTGACAGAACCATCTTTCAGATACACAATTTCCCATACCTACAAGCACTTACTAAGTCACACATACACTCACTGACAAAAATAATGGTTTAGGTTTAGATGAAAAACCCACCTTCACATCTGCAGTAAATGCTGCAGCGGCCAAAAACCGACCATTTGGTGATACAGCTGCCATGTGGTTCTTCAACTGGTTTGTATCAACATGTCCCAAATTCCTCCCAGTTTTCCCATGCCAAAGTATGATATCAGTCCCTGGGGAAGAACAAGGTCTAAGGAATAGAAGAGAAAATTCAAACAAAGCAGCACACTTGCACAGCAACACAGGAATTTATATTTGTACATTTGAATAGTCAAAGCAGTCAAGGCCACACCCTCTAGCAATTTATAAACTTGGAGATTCCGCACGCAGTTTTAGCATAGCTCCGAGCGTGACACAAAGATAGACTGGCAAGAGGCTGCTCCAATGAGAACAAAATCAACTGTATGTAGGCCATGCAAAATTCATACCTTCGGAACAAGAGGCAATGACGGCGCTTCCATCAGCAGTACCGTAAGTTGCAGTTGCTCCAGATATGGTAAGGACTGCTCTCTTCTCATGGATATTATGGCGCTCCCATTTGATCCCAGGAAGAGGAAGCTTCGCTTGATCTTCCTTTTGCTTTTCTTCGCCGTACATGTACAAAGATGAACCAGACATGGTATGACAAGCCACAACAATAGAGGAGGCATCATCAGCAAATGCCACAGCAGTTGGATGCCCTCCAGCAGGAAGATTCATCCTTAAAAATCTGGAGACAGAACAAAAAAGAGTTGGATAGTGAGACTTGCACAGGCTAACATCGTGTACTGAAAACTGATATAGAGTTATGAATACTTGAAGCTTTTGCTTGAGGCATCATCAAGCTTGAACACCCTGATCACTCCATCACCGCAAGCTATCCACAGAAACAGGAAGAAATGTAATCATAAGTGTAAAATTGCAACAAAATGTTTGACTATCATGTTTCACAGTGGGCTGCATCCAGATTTGTATTGAACAGTTTTAGCTGCCTTATAAGAGTGGTAAAAGCTCCAGAAACGGAATCCCAAAAACCAAAAAGGAACTAACCAGTGGCCAAACTCCTTCCATCAGACGAGAAACAGAGTGCAGTTACAGAATCCCCGTGGCCTTTCAACGTGTTCAAGTCTAGCGGATGATGCCGCTTGTTCTGATTCTGCGTTCCACCGGCCGGAAAATGAAGAAATAAATTAAGAAACAAATAATTAGCCGGAAACAACGCTGCGTGAAAGTCAACTCATCCAAAATCCCTAAACTCGGATTTGTTCGCAAATCTCAGTTGGCACCGCTAATGGAGTAGAAAGTACCTTGTCGGACGCGTGAGATTTGGGATGATTCTTCTTGGGGTTCGATTTGGGATTCCGGATCAGATCCTGAGGCTCCGCTTTGGCCATGGACTGCACCTCCGATGTCCGCTTCCGGAAGTAGCTACCGAAGAAGAGGACGGCGATCAACGCTCCGAGAATAACAGATGCGACGGCCAATGGAAGAACCGAATCCATCTCTCGAATTTGACAACTACCACAATCAAATCGGTGAAAAGGATCGAGTGATCAACGATAGCTACGATGAGAAGATGGAGCAACGAGCCGTTAATGGCGGTGTTTTGTGGAGCTATGGAATGAACCACATAGTAGTAACCGGGTCGGGTTTTTTAAAACGAAAATTCGTAAATGGGTCTTTAGACCGATGACCACTATTACAAAGCCCATTTAAAAATATTCCGCAGCAAAATTAAAAGTTTATCGCCCACCGTGGGGCTCGAACCCACGACCACAAGGTTAAGAGCCTTGCGCTCTACCAACTGAGCTAGACGGGCTTTGGTTCCTACGTCGATTATATGAAAGATATTAATAAAAGCCATATCTTTCTTGAGTCTTTTGGGCTTGACACTTTCTTTCCCACTTTTAAATTATAGATGAACTATTGGATTTATACTGGTTAACACCTTTACACACATATATATTTCTTGTAAAGTAAACAGAGGGAATCCGTACAATTAATTACGAGATCAAGAAGTAACAAACAACAAATGAAGGCAAGATATCAAAAGAAGTAGGTATAGAGGCAAACGGTTAGGGGCGTCTGGCTCTGTACCTAGCAGCAGCGTAGTGCTCGATGAAAGCGAGGGCGTTGCTTGTGGTTTCCTCCACATTCTTCACCTTCCCTTTAATCGTAGCCTTGAGTTTGCTCATCCTCCGCCCGGGGAACTGACTCACGCAAGTCTCGGCGTCTGTGAGAGCTGTGCTTGTCCACGTCTGCAGGTTGTTTATGTGCCAGTGCAGGTCTTCTTGGCTCTTCCCGCCTCTCCTGTTCACCCTGCCCAGCTCCGCTATGGCTAGGCTCAGCTGGTTCACGCTGTCTCTGATCTGGGTCAAACACTCGTTGACCAACACGTAGTAGTGGGGCTTCAGCGTCTCCAGCTTCGTCACCTCTTTTAACAAGAACGCCTTTGTGTACTTTGCTCTGTAGAGGCTCGCTTTGAGCGCGAATCGGGCCAGGTCCAGTGGATTTTGAATTGCCCGCGAACGCACGTAACGAGACAGCGACCGGACGCACAGGTTCGGGTATAAGGTTGTTCGACACCACGAGTCCACGTAGGCCTTCGTGTCGTATTCTTTTGCTGACGTGGCGGTTGCCGAGGAGGAGATGATGTGAGGAAGCAGGAAGAGTAACACGAGGATCAGTTTGTTATTAGCCGCCATGGCGAATCTGGAAGCTCGGAGAATAGTTCTATGTGTGAGCTTAGTTTATATCGGTCGAGGGTATAATAATTACATGTCCCTCTCCCTGTGTGGGTTTATATATATATACATGCATCATTTTTGCATGGCACGTGAATTAAAAGATGTAGATGAGCTGGATTTAATTGACCACTTGAGCTAGCAGCTGTACTTCCAATCCAAGGAAGGTTATAAGAAGGCCTGAAAGCAAGTATACTTTTAAATTAATTAATTATATGCGTATTCGTATAAAAATTGCATAGAATCAGATTTGAACGTGATTAATATTATATACTTCCTCTAGCTAGGCAGTTGACCGGATTCGAGTTTTCCTACGTTTCATAATCTTAGATAAATGGAACAGGATCTACGTTATGATCAAACATAATATATATATATATATGTATAAAGATAACGTAGACACACGCGTAGTGGAGAGAGTTACACGTGAAGAGCAGGTTTTAAGTGTTGACCCAAAGGGTGCGGCAGCGGAGAAGAAGCAAGGAGAAGCTCTCGTGGCCAACAAGATCCTTATTTAACTCTCTAAGCAAAGCTGCACAATCTTATATTCCATCCCATATCCGACCACACATACAAACTCGATGCGTGTCTTCTCGATTCTCGGAGACACTGTAATCTTTTTTATTTATATATATCATTGCAAGTTGCAACTTGTAAAAACCAGGATCCTCTACTATAGTCTATACTCGTCCAACTCATTTTCAGCAGCCGTGAGAAGAAGACTAAAATTTAGTAGTACGAACATGATTTATTGAATAAAAGTAAGCCCAGGATTTACAATGGGCTCTAATTTTTAAAAGGCCCATTTTAAATGGACCAATTAGATAAATTAGCTCAAGTAAGACCGGTTCCATTCCATTACCGGTTGGTTAAAGTTTAATAGCCGTTCGTGGCAGCGGCTCCGGGCCGGGGGGAGCGAGGAAGTCGCGTCTTGAGCTAGCTCGTCTTCTTCTCTTCTACCTTTGGCGCATAGAAAATGGACAAACGCCATCTCCCTCCCAAATTCTCCTCCATGGCTCAGAATCAACTGATCGATTCCCTCACATCTCACATCTCTCTCTACCACTCTCATTCTTCGTCCTCCTCCATACCTACTGCTAGCCCTAATCCTAGGCCCGCGATCCTCCGATGGTTCTCTTCTCTCAGCCTCCACCAGCGCCTCTCTCACCTCACCTTCGTTGATCCCAAGTTCGTCCAAATTCTACTCCAGATGCTCGGTTATATCCACACCAAAGGCCGTGGCTCTTTCATCATCCTCCCAGACCTCCCTTCCTTGGATCTCCCCGGTCTCTGCTTCAAAAAGTCTCGTGGCTTAATCTCCAGAATTGCCCTGTCCAACGTCTCAGAGCGTTGGATTTTCGACTCCACTCGGCTCTTTGGTTCCACACAAGGCGAAAGGCCCCAAGATTGCTCTTGCTCCGTCAGTTCTCTCGACTCCGTCGTCATGGCCGAGGAGTTCCTTGCGAATGTGGATCGCTTCGTGGAGACTATGGATGCTTTATCGAATGGGGCGTTCTTGAGAGGGGAAGAGACATACCTGGGCTCCGATTGGGTAGAACTGGAGTGGCTCAAAGCCAAAGGCTATTATACCATGGAAGCCTTCATCGCCAATAGGTTAGAGGTAAGCTTAAGATTAGCTTGGTTGAACACCAATAGTGGGAAGAAGAGAGGAATGAAATTGAAAGAGAAACTGAATGCTGCCGCTGCGGCAGCGAATGCGTATTGGAGGACCAAGGCATGTGCTGATTGGTGGCAGAATCTGGATGCCGCGACACACAAGAACATCTGGACTTGTTTGCTCGGCAAGTCGGCCAAGTCTGTGGTACGTCTTTGGGATGCATATATTACCTGGAATTTTATAAATGACTGACTATATATAATAGGATGTATGAAAATCATGGCTTCTTATTTGAAATTGTGGATGCTTATCTAGTTTCTCTATCCAATATTACATTCCTTCTAGGTTGAGATTGCTTTTGTTTTAGGAACTTAGGGTAAACTTGCATACAGGACGTCTCTGTCATTCTGGTGTGAGCTCTGCCGCTATGTTCCATTACATGTTATACAATTTGTGTATTTGCGATTTGATTTTTCCTAGATTTCCCTTGTCGTTGCAATCTCAGATATATGAGATTCTTAGAGAAGCAAATCAAGCACCGCAGGGAGACATGTGGCTCTTCAATTTTGCAAGGGAAGGGCGTACAGAAACTTCTGCTTCAAGGATTTTGGGGCATGCCTCTGTATCAAGGAGACCTAATACCGTAGCCAGTAATTTAAGCGGCTTATACGTACTTCAAGAATTTGCTTCATTTCTCATCTCATGTCAAAATGGCTCAGTTTCAGTACAAAGTGTATTCTTCAGCTCATTGGGTTCTCTCACAACCTTAGTTGACTGCATATTAAGAAAGCTACGGGGTTTTCTTATGGCAATCTCCGTTGATTCTGTTAAACTTGAGCTTCTTGAACAAAATACTCACAACTGTTCCCCGAGTTCATCTTCCAAGCAGAGGCTTGGTTCAACCAGCCGTAAACACAAAGGAAAGACCGGGAAGATGAAAAAGCCAACCCCGGAGGCTAAATCTGATAAAATCGTGAATTTGTCCTCGAAAAGCATAAAGGTACATATATTTTCTATCCGTCCACAGGTTATTTTATTTTCATGAACTTGAATTTGATTTTTGAAGTGATCTCCAGAAAGATCAAGCTAACGTGGAATTTAACAAAAACAAAGATGCGGTAGAATGCAAGAAAGTTACTACAGCATCAACAGTTATCAATTGTTCTGAGGCCTCCGCAGTAAATGTGGTGAATTATTTTCTTTCCTCATATTTTGGCTAAATAGAACTCAGATTTTTTTTTGAAACTGATTATATTTATCAGGGGGTTGTCCCAGGGTTGGTTGCCAGGAAAGGAAGAAGTAAAAATAAAAGGAAAGCAAAGAATAAGAATAAGAAGTGTACAAGTTTGGAAAACACCGGGGCAGTGAATAAGGCCGTAGTGAATAGTTCAGCCATCCAAAAAGCTCCCGAATGTGATTTAAGTCGTACTTCTGCCAATCAGCTTCCTGAGGAAGATATAGATGCTGAGAGTATTGGAGAGCATGGTTCAGTTAGCTGTGATAGGAGTGGCTCAGGGACAGGTGCATCTGTGAATGGTGCAGTTAAATGTGAGAATTATGGAGAGGAAGAATCGCACGGAAAAGCTGGAACGTATGTGATTTCATCAGCTTTGACTTCTGCGGATTCTGCCGGTACTTCAAGCTGTGAGAACGTGACTAAAAAGACTTGCTGTTCAGGTGAACGTAAAGACATGAAAATGTCTAATGGACGATCCAGAACTTTGGAGGAAGGGGAATCCCATCGGATTCACCATCGGAAAAGAGAAGCAGCAGGTTATGGTATTGCCTCCAGCAGTTCAGAATTTTTTTCTTATGAGTGGCCTGCCATAGCTCCCATGTACTTTCCACATGTTAATTCTCACCTTCCAACTGCCACTGATAGGCTGCATCTTGATGTTGGTCACAATTTGCATGCATACGTACGCCAACCTTTCGTGCCAACTGTACATCATGCTAGAAATCCTTCCATTGAAGGTGCCCACAAACAAGTTCTTTCTCGACCAATGCCCATGAGTCTAGATTGGCCTCCCATGGTTCATAGCAATTGCGGCTTGACAACAGCATTTCCCTGCAATTATGATTCTGGAATTCTTGTGGACATTCCTGAACAGAAAAATAAGCCCGAGCTAGTGAATGAATGCGAGAATAACTGGATGTTGGAGGAAGATTTTGAGATGCACACTGTTTCTGGAGTAGACTATAATCAATATTTCGGTGGTGGAGTGATGTATTGGAATCCTTCCGATCATCTAGGGACTGGCTTTTCTCGCCCTCCGTCCCTTAGTTCTGATGATAGCTCTTGGGCTTGGCATGAAGCTGAAATGAAGAGGTCTGTTGATGACATGGTTGCTTTTTCGTCTTCTTACAGCACAAATGGACTAGCGTCTCCAACTTCGGCGTCGTTCTGTTCCCCTTTTGATCCGTTGGGCCCGGCAAATCAGCCTCTCGGTTATGTTGTGCCAGGTAATGAAATATCTACTAAAGTACTCCAAGCTCCCCCAACAACAAGTGAAGCTGCAGGTGAAGAGGAAGTCTCTGGAACTTTGGCTAGTTTACCAGTGGATGTTGAAGGAATTTCAGGAGACGCACATACTTATCCGATTTTGCGTCCTATCATCATCCCAAATATGTCAAAATCAGAATACAAGCGTAGTTATGATACCAAAAGCCCAAATGTTCCACCTACAAGGCGCGAGCATCCTCGTATAAAGCGGCCTCCATCACCTGTAGTACTATGTGTTCCACGTGCTCCTCGTCCACCACCACCTTCTCCCGTGAGTAACTCAAGAGCACGGCGAGGTTTTCCAACTGTGAGGTCTGGAAGTTCAAGCCCAAGACACTGGGGTATGAGAGGCTGGTTTCATGACGGTGTAAACTGGGAAGAACCTTGTGGAGCGGAGGTTGTTTGGCCCTGGAGAAACAAAAGCCTTGCAGTCAGGCCGATCATTCAACCTCTACCTGGGGCCCTCCTGCAAGATCACTTAATTGCAATGTCGCAACTAGGCCGAGACCAGGAGCATGTAAGCAACACCTTTGACGTCTATCTATAACTATACTCTGTCTAAGTTGCTTGCGTTCATTGTCTAAAATGCTATTTTACAGCCTGATGTGGCCTTCCCTCTGCAACCACCCGAGTTATTGAACTGTCCAACTCAAGGGGAATCTCTATCATCAATCCACGGTCTTCTTAATGACGAAATAGATTTTTTCTGCAAGCAGGTAAACGCATTACTTCATTTTCCCTGCGTCAGTAATTGCCTTTTGGTTGCAAAGGTCTATATGAACATCTTTGAAAGTTTGATTTAGTTTACAGATGTCTATCTGAACGTCTTTGAAGTTTATATGTATAATTCCTGCGATGGCAATTATGCCAATCATTTGACTCATTACTGCTCATAAAGGTCGCTGCAGAGAATATGGCCCGTAAACCTTATATCAATTGGGCGATTAAGCGGGTTACCAGATCTCTCCAAGTTCTGTGGCCCAGGTCTAGGACGAACATATTTGGTTCTTCTGCAACTGGTTTGTCCCTCCCTTCTAGTGATGTGGACCTTGTGGTTTCTCTTCCTCCAGTGAGAAATTTGGTGAGCAAACTTAAAAACATTCCCCTTATGCATTACTTCTTGAACCGGAAGCTCTTATACATATACCAACCTCAGGAACCTATCAAAGAGGCAGGAATTTTGGAGGGTCGCAATGGTATAAAGGAGACATGCCTTCAGGTATGCTTACTGCAGAAGTCATGTTGCAACTGTTAAATGTGTTTGGGTTTGGTAGAATAATGTTCTTGAAATTTATGTTCTCAAATCTTGAGACGTGTAGCAGTAAACAATCATGATTATGCTCTTAACTTCTTACATATGCTTTATTTTAATGATCATTTATGTGCTTTTGTGTTAGGCGCTAGTCTAATTATTTTCATATAAGGACCTATATTTCTTTATATGCTGGTTGCTCACGTCGTGTTGCATATGAGGGAATTGGAATTTCTTTAGTATTGTGGAAGCCTTGTAAAATACTAGATATGTGAATCATGCTTGAGCCTGCACTCTACTCTACTTTTTATTTTATTTTGAAGTTATTTTGTTTGTTAAATAAGACTTCCTATATCTGACAGTTCACTGGGTGCATTTTTATTTTATTGAATATCATCTTTGCTATCATGTTTTGCTATTCAGCATGCAGCCAGGTATCTCGCGAACCAAGAGTGGGTAAAAACTGACTCTCTGAAGACAGTTGAAAACACAGCTGTAATGCCTCATTTATTAGTATTTTTTCCTTATTCACACTCGTTAGGTACTCATCCTACTTTCTCTAATATAAACTGTTTATGCTTACGCAGATACCAATTATCATGCTTGTTGTGGAAGTCCCTTGTGATATGGTATGCAGTTTACAGTCACCAAAAGATGGCAAAGAGTGTATCACCGTTGACCAGGACAGCAATAGTATCACTGAAATAGTTGGATTTGAAGAGACTGCAGCAGCCAACTCTTTGCCGATAAACCCTGGAAACTTGGCAAATGCAAAGTCTGTCCGTCTTGACATCAGTTTCAAAACTCCATCCCATACGGGTCTTCAAACCACACAACTGGTACTTACTGTATTCTGTTTTCCACATCAAGATGTTTTTTTCTTACATTGTACTTTCATGTATATGTATCTCTGTAACCTTTTTTCCTTCTCAGGCTCATGTTTCCTAAGATGTTCTTTTCTGCAGGTCAAAGATCTGACAGAGCAATTTCCAGCTGCCACGCCACTTGCTTTGGTGTTAAAGCAGTTTTTGGCTGATCGTAGCCTGGATCAATCATACTCTGGGGGATTAAGCTCTTATTGCCTGGTAAGCCGTATTCGTTTACTTAAGTAAAATGCTCATTTCTTTTGGATTTCAGGTGGTCGGTCTCTGTATATGTAATGCGGATCCTCGTAATTGGCGTTTGTCTAATTTAATTAGTACAATGCAACGTTCTTGAGCAGAAATATCTAGCCATATTTTTTAATCTATCCCCTAAACTCATCAAATATATGTTTGTAAATCTTAGACTATGATTATTGCAGGTCTTACTGATTACACGTTTTCTTCAGCATGAGCATCATCTGGGGCGCTCTATCAACCAAGTACTTAGTTTTATTATTTGTCCATTCTTTAACAGTAGCTATCTTTTTTTAGGTTTCCTTGTTGAAAATCATGCAATTCTTACTAATTGAAAAGAAGTATTTTGCAGAACCTTGGGCGGCTTCTAATGGATTTTCTTTACTTTTTTGGGTCAGTCAAAATGATTACTGCTGCTTTTTATAAACTTGTTAATTACATTGACAGATAATTAGCGCAATATGACTCTAATTGGTTTACTTGACTTCTCTTTATTACTTTATTTGCAATTTTGCAGTAATGTGTTTGACCCTCGCCAGATGCGTGTTTCAGTGCAAGGAAGTGGTATCTATAGGAATCGGGAGAGGGGTTATAGGTAAACATGCCGGCTGTGTCAAACTAAAAGTGCTACGAGTAAAATACTAACTTGTACACGTTCTGTTATTCACACGTTTTTTGTTATCATCTGCTTATAGTATTGATCCGATACACATCGATGACCCTCTTTTTCCAACAAATAATGTCGGGAGAAATTGCTTCCGTATACATCAATGTATTAAGGTAAATTGGATCCTGTTTGCATCTATGAAATGCTTTTATCTAGCATGCGACTATGAAGAAGTTTTATGGAAGTAAAGATGATTTATTTTGCAGGCATTTTCTGAAGCATACTCTGTTTTGGAGAATGAGCTCACATGCATTACTAGTTCTAGTGATTCGTGTGGAAAACAGCTACACAATTTGCTTCCCAAAATCATCCCAAGTATCATTTCATCTTAGGATTCCAGATGTGTTTTCGGTACGTGTTGCTTCTTGGCTGACGTTTGAAAGCTTCTTTTTTTCATCGTCGACCTCAATTTTCTGTTCAAAATGAAGGTGGCGCACAAGCTCTTGAAGTTGCAAGCTGCTGCCGATGATGATGATGATGATGATGATGATGATTGCAAGTTTGCAACTGCCCTGGCTATGGGATTCGAGGCTGGGAAGCTTACTTACCTCTGTGAGTCCAAAATGTTATTGTGAAGATAGGCTTCCGCAACATAGACCAGATTTGCTTACATGGTGTTGTTGATGTAACAAAAGACTAGATGGTAAGTAATAGTAGCTGCATTCAATTGCATATTTGCACATAGTTAGATGACTCAGCATATGCTTGGCCAGCACCCAGCCTAAGTAAGAAAATGCAGTGGTTGAAGAGAGAGATGAGAGCCATATAAAAAAAAAGAGACAACAATGGGAGATTAAGAACATGCCTGCGGCTGATTTGAGAGATGATGTAAGTCGCAAGTCAAGTGGGCAGAAGTAAAGTAATGTTGGATATGACACATTGTTTTGTAGGCATGGCTGGGCTTAGCTAGTGATATCGAGGTATGTAGGATATAAGTTTGAACTTTAACTTATCGTGACGTGAAATGGTTAATATCAGTGGCAGTCATGGATATTTCTTTTGTCTTGATCAGGAATGTTTTGGGAGAGAGGAAAACAAAGTAGGGGAATATCAGTGAGTGAGTGTGACGACGACCTTTTCTTCGTTTGAGGAAAATTTAAGCCAATGTATGATGGCGAATGTGCCTTTTGTTCCTTGTAAAGATAAACAAGAGATTAGATATAGCTCGTGCTTCTCATCTTTCCCACTCCATAAACCGTTCACCTTTTTTCCCACGTCTTTTGCTGTAAAGTAAAGTACACAAACCAAAGAATACGTAACTTGAAGCCCAAAGAATGAGAGAATCGTACGATTCGATGCAGCAGCTTATAGAATGTATGACTCTTGACACTTTTCCACAATTATACAACAACTAAAGAAAAGCCGTCCAAGTCAAAAGGGTAAAATCCGTTGACTTTATAATTTCGGCAGGCTTATTTGAAAATGATAATGGGCTTTAATTGAGCCTATTACTCTCCGTCAGCCCTTTGGGTCGGCGAGAAAAGATTCCCCCTTTGGTAAGGTAGGGTAGAAGCTATCTATATGGAAACATGATTAGATCCGCTTCTTGGGTTTTTGAATCCCGTAACAAACCCTTAAGCAGAAACAAAAGTCCATAAAAACAGAAACAAAAGTCCATACTCTTAACTTTTGCAACATCGCAAGTCCCGACCACCTTTTAGTTGGGGCTATTCATATCTTTTGGGAGTATGTACATATATATCATACTTAACTATCAAACCAACTGTATCGACCTTTGGAGTTATCTGATTTGATAATACCCTTTTTACAATTTTGTGACGACTAAATTAATATTAATTAGATCTATACTCAATCAAAATCATCGTCCCACAACATATTCGTGTACTGTATTTTTTTATCTATATCTTCCCACAGCCTTTCAAATAATCAAATAAAGTTCAGTGTTTATATTGTACGTCTGTTTGATAGTAAAAGGACAAAATGGGATATAGGGTTTGTGGTCATGACGAATGATTACTACTTAACTTGGCATTATTTCGAGTCACTTTTGGTTATTAATAATTAGATTTTGTTTACAAACGTGTGGTGATAGTCAGGGCCAAGTTGACCTGTTGACACCCAATCATTTACACAACTCCTTTTCCATAAAAGTATTCGTTTTTTTTCTTTTCTTTTCTTGTAGCATACTAACATTATCATCAAATTATTGTGGAATTTTGCAGACAAAGCATATGCCGTTGTGTCTCCTCCAATTTGGCTTTTCATTTATTCTTACTGACATGATTAAATTCGTGAAAACAAAGGATATGTATGTCTACGTATATTTGAACCTATTAGCATAGAAAAAATAGAGCACTCGTCGTCTGTGCATGGGTTTAGAGTGAGGTTACAAATTCATTCAAAACATAATCATTATTTTTCTCGGACGACGACATCTAATAATTACAACCAGGAATTTTCTTGTTTTGTGTAAAAAAGTACTATCATTATTCATGTGTAGCCTATACATAGTAAATATGGTGGAATGTGTATGGTGAGTAATGTAGACGTAATTAAGGTTGAGATAATCATTTTGAATTTGAAGGAGGAGGAAGCTGCTGCTGCATTTGCTGATATAATGCAGCCATCCTGCTATATGCTTCCATCGTCGTGGGCTGCAATTCGAAAAATAATTAAATATGGAAATGCTTAACTAGATTCTGATATAATGAAGCATTTGTATATATAAAAGAGCTGTGTAACCTGCGATGAGCATGCAAGAAAGGCTGCCATAGGATCGGGGATGAGAGGAGGCTGGAATCGAGTGTCGTTGGAAGATGAGGCATCCCACGATGGAGAAGTCATGGGCGCAAATGGGTTCGGCATCATGTTGGTATGGATACTAGGAACGGTTGAAGCAGCGGCAGCAGCAGCTCGGTTAATAGAATTAAGGTCGAGGAGACCGAGACCAGGCATCCCCATGCCAATCCCTAAACCCATGGAACTTGACATGAGAGACAACTGAAGTTGTTGTTGTTGCTGATGTTGCTGCATGGCCATGGGAAGGATCATGGAAGGCATGTTCATTCTGCTCATCATGCTCACTTGTGCTTGGAGTTGCTTCAAGTACTCTATCACTTCATCCAACATCGACGCTTTGTCCGTCTAATTCCAAATTGTAATTAATCAAGCCATTCCTTCTATTTTTTCTATATATACATTCGATTTAACCAAACCAACTTGGTCATACATATATATTTATAGTCAAGCAGGTTTGTACAATACATTATACATGTGTAATGTTAGATTGTATTGATTGTTTTGGTTGAATTTGAGTCGACAGCCAGAAGGCATATAATAATTAAGGGCGTATGAATGGACCAACCGGGTCAAGTAATAAAATAAAGAGATGTAAAATAAGTTTTGAGGGGACAAACAAATAAGAGACTGAGCATAAGTGTGTGGAGCAGAATCATCGTATGAGGTCCATTTCTTTAGATGCATTCACTTCGCTTTGGTCCACCACCTTTTTCTCATATTATCATCTCCAGCTATTTTCGTTCCTACTACTAGCTAGTGTTTTTTTTTTTTCTTTTTTTTTGTTAAAAGAATATATTTTTCATATGTACGTAGTAGACTCATATGAATGAATTTAGCATAATAAAAATTTGGCGACAGTTAATGATGCATGTAGAACGAAACGAGGTACCTTGCTTGAATTGGGAACCAGCTTCTGCAAAGTCTTCATCCTTTGATTGATCTTGTCTCTCCTCTTCTGCAATAAAATCAACTGAGGGTAGTTAATATCAAGAGATCACGAATGTTTATAAATATATTATGAAATAGTAGCCGGCTATATTAACTTTAAAAAATAATTAAAAGGAGAGGTTGAATGAACAAAAAGAATTACACGTTCGGATTGGTTATGTATAGCAGCGGCTCTGCTTCTCTTGGTTGAAATTGATGATTTTCCTCCCGCTCGCTTCCCTTCTTCTTCTTCCATCTACATGCCGTTACAAAATTTTAAATTTTTTGTTTATATTTTTTTAATAGAAATGATAATAGTTAATTAGAAGGCGTAAAATAGGGAATTGCCTGTGGGCGGCTGTGGCAGACGGAGTCATGATCGTCGATGGTGGTGGCTTTGGTGCAGGGCTTCCCGCCGTCGCTGGAGTTGTCATCCAGCGATGTTGAGGTGAAACCGTAAGTGTCCATGGTCAGGCGCTGGCTCCCGCTCGCGCTCCACTCGGGCGCCGCCACTCTTGCTCGTTTCTCACCAGCCATGTGATGACCATCGCTACACGAACCCACGTGGGTGCCTGGCTGGCTCTGCTGCTCCGGCACAAGCGCGTCCATGCCCCCGGAAGAGCGATGGTGGAACCACGGGACCAGCTCATCCGTGGGCTTAGGCTTAGGGTTAGGGTTGGGGAAACGAGTAGCTTGGTCCACTATCGACTCCAACGTTCCACCGGCGCCGGTTGAGTACTTCGACGGAGCCGGCACTCGCGGTGGACCTAAGCCGTGCAACCCCAGTTGCCCATTCTCCCACGTCAGCTCGGCTACCTCGTAGTCTAGCCTGAACAAGATATATATATATATATACCAAAGTTATCATATATTGATCGGCCAATCACATATGATAGTTAATATGGTACATATATAATATTTACATGGGGATATCTGCCGCTTTCGTGGAGCGGACGGTGGCCGCCGGAGTATCATCGATGTGGCAGCTTGGAACACGCTGGCTCATCCCAGAGCTGTGTTTTGTATACTATTGCTATTATCAAGCTTAATTAGAAGATATTGTGTTGTTGAAATGTTCTTCTCTTTCTTAAAATGATTTTTTATGTGAACTTTTGTAGCAATGAAGAAGTGGGGACATCATACTTGACTAGTTAACCATATATATACAAATCATTATAGTCTAGCTAGGTCCCTCCTTTTGTTGCCCTGCTTAATAGCTGTTGAATGCTTTCTTGACAACTTAATTAATTAAATGTGATCATGATAATTAAACAACATAACTTACTACATAGTTTGTTTTCATAGTTAACAGTATATGTATACTTGTATAGTAAGATTCCCTACAAAATGTTTTTTAACTTAAAAACATAATACGTTACGTATGCTTATTTGCCAGAATAGAATCAAAGGGGTTCTATAAAAAAGAGTGACGGAGAAAATAGAGAAATTACATATGAGCCATCAGAAACTCTTCAGTATATATGTAGGCTCATATAGTAAGAGCCCATCCTTAAAGCCCAATGGTTATTACCATTGAGAACAAAACTAATGCAAATATATAAACGATACATCATGTGTTAATGTGCCGATTCTTACTAGTATAGTTATAACTTACGATACTTAAAGCCTCATGAGGAAGCCCTCGAAGGTGAATTGAATCCCAGTTCGAAAGCTAAGCCCAAACCCCACTCTTCTATTCCTCTGCCTTTCTTCTCAAGTTCATCCCTTACGTGGAAGATGGTGTTGCTGCTTAATGTTCCCATAATCTATCAACGCCCGTCTGCTGCATTCCAGCTACTCCCGTTCTCCGGCTTCAGTTTCAGTTTCGTCTCCAGCCCGTTTAGGATGGCCGGTCCACCGGGATGAACTGCCCAGAACAGGTTATTTAACTCCAATGAACCAGAGCCAAAGCCAGCTTCTTGCAGAAGTCCTCCTCTACGATGTCTTCGATCTTCTGAGGGAGGTCCCTTTCTAGCTTGAAGCTTATGCCCTCTTGTGCCAGCCGCCCGTCGACCATCCCCTACGTTCCGGGCAGGAACTGCTGCAGAGCAAAGTGAAGCTCCATGAAGGGAGATTCTGACTGACTCTGTAGGGTCTGCCCCGATGATCAGGGCAACTGCTCCATTTCCAAAGAGGGCGAGCTTTGTTGGGCGGACGGAAGGCGAGAACCATGATATCAGAGGTGGTGAACACTGAACAGCACCCGGATGGTTATTTTTCAGCACTGTCTTTGGCTACGCGCAGGCCAGCCACACCACCGTTGCATCTCAGAAAATACAGCATGACTCTCTGCACCTCGGTTATAAATTTGCATAAGTTTAGATTCTCGAGTGTAAACGTATTAACGAAAGCTCACCCATGGCTTAGCCGCTCAGCTTCAACCTGCACAGTTGCAAGAAACCAGAAAAACCAAATACCACAAAAGGCGAAATGACATGCTGCTACTGCAAGATGTTTCCGGAAGAAGAGACCAAAAAAGAAAGTAAAAATCCCAAAGTGGGATATGTTTTATTCTCTTCATGTGCGTATTCAGTGTCTTTTAAGTTTCCATCAACTATACTATAAGAGTACACTAAGAGACGTCAACTAGTATGCCTTCAAAATTCAAGGCGTACCAGAGTTACCGCATTTACAACAGGGAAGATGAAGACGAACAAAGACATGCATAATTCAGTAACAACACTGTTCATGCCTATCCGCTCACAAATTGGTGTTTCACCTTCAACCCTTTAACCTAGTGAAAAATTTACCGCCTTTTCTCCACATTCCGATGCCATCGAGATCTGATGACAGCAAAGATCTTGTATCCGGTCTCCACTTGAGCTCTTTCAGCACAGAGAAGAGGGAAGCAAGTTCTGGAGTTACTTGGTTGTCTTTTATATTACTACACGAAACTACCATTAGTCTTTGAAGACCCTTCCATGAGAGAAGTACTGATTCCAGACCTCCTGTCGTCAGCAATGAGCAATGTTCAAGATAGAGTAGCTTCACCCTCCTGAGAAAGACAAAGACACACCTTTGCTCAAACATCAGAAATAAGTTAATGAAGAATGAGCTTCTTCTAACCTATTCATGAAGTCGAGTTATCTTACCTACAGATTGAGGCTAAGGCAAACAAATCATCTTGGAAACCCCAGCAGTTACGCAGCAAAATATCCCCAACATTCTCACAAACCAGAAACAAAGACTTGGTGCTCTTCTTATCCCTCAGCTGACACCGTTCTAAGTGCAACACCTGGAGCATAGGACAGACTCCGAGATGCTCATCGAGTCCAGGGCTGGAATCGATAGCCTTGCAAGACCGAAACCTCAAAGTCTTCAAATTTGCACAAAAAGACAGAGCAGCCAACCACCCACCATCCATCCTATGGTCTTGCAGAGTCAGTTCCTCGAGCATTTGGCAGCACTGCCCAATTGCTTTGATCCCGTCATAGCTTCCTTCACAACCACATAGCTGGAGCTTCAGTAGTCTCTTGCAACCTTGTGCTAGAATGGTTAACCCGATGTCGGACACCACGCACGCATAAAAACCATCCATCCTTGCACTCAGTTTCATTGCCTGCAGGTTTACACATCCAGAAACCCCCTTTAAGGACATATCTCCGCAGCAATGGAGCTCCAGCTCCTGCAGCGCGTCGCCTACGCTCGCCAGCCCATACTCGCTGGCACCAAACGCAGCAACTCTCCTCAAATTGGGATACTTTTGGGCCATCAATTGGAGCCCTTGATCAAGCCTATCAGGTGGAAACGACAGTTCAATCTTCGACAAGTCATCGTCGGTGCTACTGATGGGAAGAGAGAAGAAGGGATTGAAGGTGACCAAGACACCGGAGTTTGGCGTGAGGCGGATACATGACCGGGCGATATCGATTTCGGTGAGATGAGGGAAGCGTGCGAAAAGCCGACCAGACTCGAGAAAGTGCCAGTCGAGGAGATTAAGAGATCGAACCAAGCGGCCGTGAAGATACAACCAACGCTTGCAGACAAGTGAAGTGGCGAGGTGGTGAGAAATGGGAAGCTTGGAGAAGACGCAGAGGAGAAGCTGATCAGAGAGGAGGGAGCTGAAATCGGAATCGGAATCGAGACGGTGGTGGTTGTGCATGTTGACAAGAACATCGAGATTAGGGGAAGTCTGACATTTTGTAGGGTTTCCTCTGATTTCATCTTAAATTAACCTCACCAAGTTTTACCATTTATGATTTATCCTAACAGGTTTTGCTGTTGCCTCCCTCTCTCATCTGAGTTATTGTGCCGGTTCGTTGTGTGATCTACTAAAACAAAAATTAAAAATCGTGTGTAGTAATGGTCAAAACAAACTTATCATAATTAGTATCCAGGCCTGGGCTCATAAAGCCTGTTTGTTTAACGTAAGTTCGCCAATAAAAATGGATAATCTCATGAGGCGAAGCCCAATCTGAAGCCCAGATCACGCACGTGCGTTACCCGCTTCCCGTGTCACGTGTTTGCGGTAAAACCCCGGAAGCGGCTTCGCCTTGCTCCGCAACCTCGATGTCTTCTGCTGCTTCTCCCTGATTAAGATTTCAAGTTTCATTCTTTAGCCCAAGCTTTCATTCATCGTTTTGCTGGATACTAAACATCAGAGATGATGAACCTCCTAAGGAGATCAGCGATATCCCTCGGCAGCCTACCCAAATCGAAACTGGCTTCGACCCTCCCGTTTTCCTCCGCCTCACAACCTTCTGGAATCCGAAAATCGGTTTGTCTTTGTCTCCTCAGTATTTTCAATGTCATTCCTCGGGTGAATACTTTTTCTAGTCCTGCTTGAATCTACCGACTGACAAAGAAACACCTTCTTCTCGGGAAACAAGTACGCAGTTGCTTACAAAGCTATTCTTCCCTTTAATCTATGCAGTTGATAGGCGCTTTAGAAAGAGGAGCATCAAGGCAAGCCGTTGCTGATTCGTGTCTCATGAGTGTGGTAAGGTGTTAGTTTAATAGCTGATTACGCCCTATTGATCACAGCTGTTAGTTTAATGTCTCTCATCGGTTTTCCTATGCAGGACTCAAATGGAGCTAAGGGTCAGCAAAACAATGTGTAATGAAACTTCAAATCATAGGGTTGTGTAGTGCTTCTGACAATGGTCTGTTTGCAGGACTATTGTTTGGCTTCCGAAATCTGCAAGCAAGAATGCCTATGGAATCCCGTCCAAACAACATCAAGTCGCCTTGCGTTTCTAGATCTTTTGCATCAGAAGCTGGGAAACAGCACAATAAGGTGATGCTTCTGAATTCCAACTTGTTTATTGTGTTCCGCCGTACAAGTATCACAATGAGAGGCATCAAAAGCCACATACAACCTTTGTCATCTAATCCCAATATGAATAGTAAATCGATATGTATTGACATTAATGCCGCTTTGTTGATTTTTCTAAAACAGGCTAAGAAAGAGGTGACTACTGTGGAGGATCCTTTTGATTCTCCTACGTACCATATCCCGGAGAAGCCGGTGACGTTTACAGAAGGTGCCTCCTACAGTCTTGTTATTCTGGCTGGGCTTGGGGTCGCTGGAGCTGCTGGGTACGCTGTGTTGAAAGAGCTCATATTTCAACCAAAAGAGTGAGGCTTCAGGACTCTTGTATGATTTCTGCTCTGTCACTAGGAGGGGTTGAAATAATCTAAAGAAACTGTTGTGTATTTGTAGGTACAAGATCTTTGACAAAGCCTTGAAGAGAATTCAAGATGACGGTCAGGTATTAAGAAACCAACTCCATAAGAGATTGATCATAATGCAACGGTGCTGAGGTTGACATGTTAACTAGGTGAGGGTTAGGATTGGATCCCCCATCACAGGCTACGGTCAAGAATCCAGAAACCGAGCCGCTCGTCAGCGCATACCAAACAGAGTATTTACAGATGAAGACGGAGTAGAGCATGTTGAGGTAATTCATTCTTCTTCTGCTCATGGAATTAACGTATCATTCTTCTTCTTAACATAATAATCAAAATATGCTTTCAGGTAAACTTCTTCATCCGTGGTCCTCACGGAGCCGGGAAAGTGTACACTGAGATGTTTAGAGACAAGGCTGACAAAGAATGGAAATACACATACCTCATCGTAGAGATTTTAGCTCCTTCCCCAGCCAAACTGATGCTGGAGTCCTATTTGCCCGCCTAGACACACACACACACTCATTGTCTATTTTTATGTTTCAGTTCGATCCGGATAACATTATTCATAAACTGCTGGATTGTTTTAGTTTGGTGTTTGACAAAACAAATAGGACATCTGTTGTTATCATCATCAACTTCCATTTAATCAGACATCTGTTGCGTTGCTTCTAATCGATGAAACAAACAAGTCTAAATTAACTTTTTTATTATTAGAATTTTTCATTTACAACATCTGAATCACCACCACTCATCCCATTCAATCCTTACAAAGCAGTAACTCACTGTATGTAATGTTCACCCCGAGTCGCTATCACTTTCAGGTGCCCTCTGATAAATCATCGTGCTCGTATCTGCATGGTACTGCCCATACAAGGCATACACGGCAGTTGCAAGCAGACTCACAACAACAAATCTAATCCATGCTTCATAATGCAACTGCAAAGTATTACAAGCTCAAAAGTTAAAATCAGATGGTATATGGGACTAGTACAAAATTAGCTCTTCGCTTGTACCTGAGCAAATAAGAAGATATTGAAGAATATGCAAACGCATGGCACAATGGGTACACCAGGACAGCGAAACCCAGAACCCAGTGACTGAGCATAAGCCTGGAAACGAAAAGCTGAGGGGGTTAACATGGCAGGCACTTGTGGAGAAAACCGCGAGGGTTTCTTCCAACTGCATCGTTCTCATTCCTAATTTCCATTAGCAAACTTTTTCCTAAACCAAGAATGCCAAAGTTACTTCCATTGTCATAGACTTTCAAAGTATATCACCGTGGAGTTCCAAGTGTCAGCTAATGCTACTTGTGGTCTCTATTTTGTGCTGTATCACTAATAGGCTTTGTATTTAGCTTTTCAGTGAAACTCCCGCATTTAATTATTTTGTCGCATTTGCTTATGCTAAAGGCAACTTACTTGGCGATAATGGAGAGCTGCTGAAGCAATAACTGCCACACCAACTGAGAGGAGAAGAAATATAACCGAAGCACTGAAACGGTAAGATACACCGGCACCAAAACCACTGCATGCAATTATAACAAGGCAAATGACGCCTTCCTGCCAACTTGATGTCCATCCATTGGACGACTCTCTTCCTTTCTTATCGTTCAATCTCAAAGCCACAACACAAGCCGCAACAACTGAATACCCAGTCTGAAACAGTGGAACACCAAAACATAATGCTAAAACTGGAAAGGATAAGCGTCGATCAGAAAACTAAAAAAGATAAGAGATTGACGTACCAATGTACCAACTGACAGAATGTGGGAAAGACTATGTACATTAAATAAGCCAGCTAAAATGCCAGCAACAACGCCACACCAGATTTGAGAATGAAGAGGTGTATGAAGAGTTGGGTGTATTTTGGAAAAAATCGAAGGCAATAGACCATCCCTTCCAAGTCCCAGATATAACCTGGACTGTTAGTGAAAAATATCGTATGAGAAACCTTGGTTTGCATGAGAAGACAAAGATGATATATATATATATATTCACCTGAACATAAAGACCAACAAGCAGAGTAGTTGTGAGTCCAGCAACAGCACCAATACTGATTAAGATTGAGACAAACTTCATACCCTTTGATGAAAAGGCTTCAGCCAAAGGAGCATCTTCGCTGAGGAGGCTGAAAGGGACCATCCCAGTGAGCACTAAACATACGCCAATATACAAGGAGATGCATACCAGAAGGCTCCCCATGATTCCGATTGGCAGATCGCGCTGAGCATCACACATTGGCAGGAATAAGACACTGCGCGTAAAATCTAAAATTCGACAAATAATATGTGGGGAGATCTGACCTGAGGGTTCTTGGACTCTTCAGCAGAATTAGCAACCGCGTCAAATCCAACATACGAAAAGAACACTACAGTAGCTCCAGTGAGCACTGCTTTAAAACCATTAGGCGCGAAAGGGGACCAATTTGCTACATCAATTTCAAAAGCGCCGGCACAGATCACAACGAGAACGATCACGACCTAGAGAAGAAGTGAATCAATTTGCTACATCAATATCAAAAGCGCCGGCACAGATCACAACGCTCGTCATGATGATCGTCTTCTCAGGGTAAAAGAGCAAAGAAGGAGACCTAACCTTGGTGGCAGTCATGACGGAGTTGACAGCGGAAGATTCTCGCACACCCTGGCATAGAACAAGGGTCAAGAGCGCAAGTAAGACCGGAGCCAAAATATTTAAAGAGAGAATCCCTCCCAACAACTCTTTGCCGCTTCCCATCCAGAGAGGAATACTGCCCTTTAAACCTGGAAAAAGCTCGAGGAGAGCGACTGCGTAGCTTGCCAAGCTACGTGAGATACTTGCCGCCCCAATATGATAGTCAAGCATGAGCTGAACGAAAACCAGAAACGCCGTAATCTCGTTGAAAGCTGAATACGAGTACATGTAAGCTCCCCCAACAACAGCAGGGAAACGAGATGCGAGCTCCGCATAACAGAGAGCGTTCAACACACACGATGTTCCAGCTAGCAAGAAGCTGATCGTCACTCCTACACACAGGAATTGCAACTCGTAAGCAAATCTATCTAAATATGTCGGAGATGACCAGAAACTCCCCCTTACTGACCGGGTCCGGCATCGCGAGCGACGGTTCCGGTTACGACGAAGACACCGGCGCCGATGGAAGCGCCGACGCCCAACAGTATGAGGTCAAAGAGACCGAGGCGACGAACCAGAGAGTCGCCGGAGGTGGAGCGAACTGCAGTCTGCGAGGACGGAGGAGCCAACGATTTAAATCGGCGAGCTGAAGCACAGAAATGAGAGAACCATGTGGCGGAGGAGAGGTGTTGGGTGCTGAAATCTGCCATGGAAAATCGAATTGGGAGTTGAGATCGATTCGAGACGATGGAATATTGGAATCAAAGATTAGTCGGATCTATCCAGAATCCAACAATGAGAATCCAGTTAGAGGTGTGGGGCCGAACACAGGGCCCAGTAGAAATCAGTGAGCCCAAGAACCCTCTATGTCAAGCAAAATGGCTAAAAGAAAACTAGAAAACGTAAGAAACCAAACAATGTGAAGAACAAAAGCAGAGCAATGTCAACAACTGAACTCCGCAATACAGATTAGGGCTTTTGCAGAGCACACAATCCTAATTGCCGATTTGGGAGGGAAGAAGCAAGACGTTACTTTCGCTCTGTTCCAAATTCAACCTCGACCCGTACCACACACAATAAAATATAGGAAACGAATAAACATACATATGGCCCTTTTATTATTTGAAATAAAAATAGAATAATTTATGGGCCTGATTAATTGTAAATTGCAGAGAAAATGATTGGTAAAGCCCAGCGGTCCAGTCTCTAAAAAGAGAGCACTTACCCTTGGGCATCTCTAGGGTTGCTATATAACTCCGGCATCTTTTCATTGGAGATACGGTATCGCCGACGACTAAAAGATCTGACAATGGAACAGACTTTCATCATGATCAAGCCCGACGGCGTCCAGAGGGGTCTGGTACGTTTCTATTTTCTTTGCTGTTGATGTTCTTGAATGGTTCGATCTTTGAATTTCCTCGCAAATTTCGTAATTGTGTCTTCTCCCTGTGCTCCATCTCAAGTATTGTGGTCTTGATTATGTTTCCATATTTTGGTGTTTCAGGTCGGTGAAATCATCTGCAGGTTCGAAAAGAAGGGTTTCACTTTGAAAGGTAAATATTACTGTCCGCCACATCCAATCATCATTTCATGATGTCAGGGTCTCATAATTTCATTGCTGTAAATTTGAAAGTTGGTAGCTGCATAAACGTCGTAACTCTAATGTATCTCTGTCCAGCTCTGCTTAGTCATCAAATGGATCATACTTTGTAATGAATGCTTTAGTTGATGATAGTTGGTTTGGTTGCTGGCATGGACAGGTCTAAAACTGATCACTGTGGACCGTCCTTTTGCTGAGAAACACTACCAGGACTTGTCTGCCAAGCCGTTTTTCAATGGTCTTGTTGATTACATAATTTCCGGCCCAGTCGTTGCAATGATTTGGGAAGGGAAGAATGTTGTTTTGACTGGACGGAAGATCATTGGAGCAACCAACCCTGCAGCGTCTGAACCCGGAACTATTCGTGGGGATTTTGCAATTGACATTGGCAGGTAAGAGCTGGTTTTGTTTCTTTTTTTAACTGTTAAATGTATTGAGTTCGGAAATGAAACAAGTAGAATGCGAAAGGAGATATGATTGGGAATATTCTGCAGGAACGTGATCCATGGGAGTGACTCGGTAGAGAGTGCTAACAAGGAATCTGCGCTGTGGTTCCCAGATGGACCTGTCAATTGGCAGAGCAGCCTTCACCCTTGGATCTACGAATGATTCTACTCTGTGTGGTTGTTTTTGGCATTTGTTTCCGTTTGAATGAATCAAAACAATATTGTTGTTAGCTTTGTTTCTTCCGCCTTCTTCCTTAACAATCGATCCAGACCTTCGATGGACCTTTGTTTTCAAGTTTTTGAATCAAAACATTCCTCTTGTGCGTGTTTTAATCCTGTGTTCTTGTTCTATATTTTCGTTTCCTTTCTGACGATCGTCTCTTCCCTTTGCTAAAAAATACAATACTTTATATGGGCTGTAGATTGAAGCCCATCTAAGGCCCTTATATATCTGTCTCCGTCTTCTCGTAAAAGACATATATACGGTGCCGTCGTTTTGTAGCTACGTAACCAACAAGTATCAACAATGTTCTTGTAGCACGATTAGAAGATTGTTTGTTACTACTTTTCCTTCGAGGCCAAGAAACAGAAGCCATGATCAAGTAACTAATAAGCGATGCATGCTGTTAATTAGTTAATTGTGTTGTGTATATATATAGCAATCTCAAAGAGGGTTAGAGCTTGGGGGTATAGTGTGTGTCATTCCATGAACCCCAACACTTAACATGAGGGCTCCACTTGGTGTTGACATGAGAGGCTTTGTATCGTTTCCAGTCACGAAGAACAAGGGTGAGATCAAAGACCTTGGCAGGGATGTGGCGGCAGCAGTTGGCGTGGACGGTAGTGACAGCGCCCATGTCAGAGCTGTCTTGGCAGAAGCCGCTAAAGTAGGTGGTGTTGAGGAAGCCAACGGAGAGGCCGAGCTGGTGGAAGTAGCCTGACTCGAGGAGTTTCTTGAGGACGTCTTGTTCCTTCATGCCCGTCGAGTTGAGTCTCATGTCGTACCATTTCTGGAAGAGGGAGATGGTCCTGTTGTTGGAACGGACGTGGTAGAAGCCCGTGTTGATCAAGTGTCCTCCCACGCCGCTGTCCACGCTTATTTGCATATCCAAGCTCCCGTTGTTGCTTAGCCTGGAGAAGGGGCTCCTTAGCCACATCACGTCCGTGTCCTGACAATATTATAGGGTTCCAAAACCCTAATAGTGAATTCATGTGTTTTATTTATTTCAAGTTTCAAAGTCTGACAACTAACCGTGAACAGGATATGGTAGCCACGGCGGAGGACGTCTAGGAGCAAGCGAGTCCTCCGCCACATCATCTCTATGAAATCGTCTGACATGTATACTTTCTCTCCTTCCAAGTCAACCCCCTTCGTCTCCATCTTGTAGCAATGGAGCCTCCTGAAGCGGCAGCGATCGTAGGCCGTCTGATCCGCTGCCACCACCATCAGATGGTCCAGCAATGGCAGAGTCCCCTCTCCTAGCCAGAAACTCTCCAAGAACAGATCCAGCATCGTCCTTCCTCCTCCTCCATCCTCCTCCACGTACGCTTTGTTCACCATCGCTATTATCACCGTTTTGTTGTTTCCTGCCGCCGTCTTGTCCAGCGCTGCCTCTAGCTCGTCTACCGGAAACTTTATCCTTCTCTGTCACCACTTGAGTTTTAATTTCTCCTATTATATATATCTTACTCTAGATTCCATTCATTAATACATTATGGATTCAACTTACCAGAGTGTTGTTGTGTTGGAGATCGGAGATAGGATTGGAAATCAAACGTGAGGAGAAGCAGATATATATGGCGCCAGCAAAGAGGAGAGCAACAGCCACGGCGAGATTGCCGGAGGAGTTATTGCAGAGAGGCATGGTTTCAGTTATCGGATTATTAGGACTAGGAGTAGGAGACTCACGTATCTTATGTGCCTTTTTCCTCACTCTTGATCCCCTTTAATTTTGAACACAACCCACATATTTTAACCTAATACAGTTATGTAAGGAATGGGATATACACCAAACTTAAGTGATCCCATATTTAGGTGGATACAGAATCGAAACACCTTTCTTGTTTATTTTATTTTGCTTTTGGGTTAAGAAGATATTGAAAACCACTTATGTTTCTCTATTAGAAAGCAATTGTATGATTGTAAAATATAAAAAAATATACCAAAATTATTTTGAAAAACATGTTCAGGTAGATATACACTAGATTTATATAGAGAAACTAAATCAAACAAACGTTTCGGAAAAAGAAATCCAAATGTTTGGAAGAGTTTTTTTGTTATTGATTGTCACAAGAAAGAATATCTTTCATAGAAAATGATATGTGTGGAACTAGAAAGATATTCCAGGCATATCATTTTCTATTTGCAGGCATATCATTTTCTATTTGCAGGCATATCATCTTTTTATTTTTAGAGAATTTAAAAAAATTTGAGTTTTAATGAAATTTTAGATGATATTCTGAATTGAGAAAATTGATATGATTTGATATTAAAATTTTATGAAATCCAAACTAAAATGCCATTTGGTTTTCTATATATTTAACTAACAAACTTTACCAAATCATTTAAAAATACTCAATATTTTTTTAAATTCACTATTTAAAATATTTCCAATAACAGTAGATTTGATTTAGTTTTTATAAATTATTTTTTTAAATAACTTTAGTTAATTTTACATAAACTTCATGTTCAATAACATCAATTTTGGTAAAACATTTAGAAATCACTAATTCAATAACAGAGATTTTTTAAAATAACTATCAAATCTTCTGAAATTTCTAATCCAGTACACCCGCTCATAATAGGTTTAAATTGTATGTTTATACTTAGGAGATGTAAGATTATAGTATAAATACCTAAAAGTTGATAGTCTTAAATCTTTTTTTTTTTTTGTATGACAATTTTTTAAAAGAATATATCTCTGTCCCACAAGAGAACCAATCTTTTTTGTAGTATCACTAGTTCACTACCATTTTGGTGTTTAAAATCTTAGTAGGCATTCTCTCATACAAAATTTGTTTTTCTTAGCAATGACCAATTGTATAATATGATATTTTTTTGGTTGATATGGACAAAAGAAATCAGAACCATGACAACCATCCTAAAGAGAAATAAGAAGCAGAGACAAAAACTAAAGTATACTGAACCTGTTGCCTGTTGGTTATTCTGAAACTTTTCTTGAAGACTATTGTGTACGTTCTTTGGCAGAGAGCGTAACGCAAAAATCTTCAACGCCTCTCTACTACGCTGATGTGTGTCTTGAAAGTTGAAATCTCAGGTGGATCGAGCTATGCATGACCGTCTTCTCTCGTTCCCTCCAAGGGATAGTAACTCCTTTCTCCTTAAATGTTGTTATTTCAGTTGTATTTCTCATCCGTTATGATACAGTCTCTTTTAAAGTCGCTTTATTTTAGTTTCTTATAATTTATAACTTCTTCTTTTACTATAAAATCTTAACATTAGAACTAGAAAAGAAACTCTTTTGGACATTAAAAAAAAATAATTATATCACATTTTGCATTAGCATTCTCAACCTTATTTTTCTATGTTCACAAGTGAATTAATTTTATTTCACAAAATTAAAACTTAATCTATGTGTATTTGTTTCTAAACGTATATAATCTTTTAAAAGATCCAAAAAGTTATATTTTAATTGATTCAAATCTTTTTACTTATTTTTAAATGTGATATATCTTTGTATATATTACACTTAACTATCCTTGTATAGTATATAATTTATATAGTCTGAATTTTTTGAGTCTAACCTCATCCTATTTTTATTTTTATTTTTGCAAACAAAAAGTATGATCTAAGAATAATAATGTGAGAGTATCAAATTTAGTAAAAACATAATCAAAATAGGGGAAAAAATAAGAAGGAAAAAAACTAAACTTGGGGGCGAAGGAGGGGGACTTTTTCTTTTAGTTAACATGTATTTTTTCCAACAAAAAAAAAAAGAAAAAAGAAAATTCTCTTCGGCTCTTATCAATTATCATCTTCCTCGACGAGCCATCCCTGAAATCGATCAGCGGGAGCTCCATTTATGTGATGCATCAGAAGAAATCGGAAGCTCAGATCGGAAAAGAAAGCAGCGGCGTCTCTTCCGATTTCAACCCTTCTCCCCCTCTTCTTTTCTTCCCTCAGATCGTATCTCACCATCATCATCACCACCACCGTGATCGCTCTTCCTCGGCCGCCCCTTTCAAGCGTCCTCTCCTTACCCACCGCTCCTCTCCTTTTTCCTCTTCGCCATCATCTTCCCGGTTGCTCTGGCTCAAATCCTATCTCTCCCGCTCTCTCCGCCGCTTCCCTCTCTTTTGCTTTCTCCTCCCTCTCTCTTACTTCCTCCTCTCCCACCCCGCTCGACCCTTCCTCGTCGATTTCCTCTCCGCCTTTGTTTTCTCCGCCGCCCTTCTGTTCTCCCTAAACCTCGCCCTCCCTCGCCTTCCTTCCATCCGCTTGTTCCTCGCACGCTCCTTACCCTCTCCGTCGAGGACCCCTTTACCGGTTTTCTGGTCCATCGGGTCTCGACCTAAATCTGATAGGAGGGGAAGCTCCGGGTGCTGGGTGCAGGTCTACAGCAACGGAGACGTCTACGAAGGAGAGTACCACAAGGGCAAGTGCTCCGGTAGCGGCGTCTATTACTATTACATGAGCGGCAGGTATGAAGGTGATTGGGTTGATGGCAAGTACGATGGTTATGGGGTAGAGACCTGGGCCAGAGGCAGCCGATTTAGGGGCCAGTACAGGCAGGGTCTTCGCCACGGATATGGGGTTTACAGATTCTATACCGGAGACATGTTCTCCGGCGAGTGGACCAGCGGACAGAGCCACGGTTGCGGAGTTCACACCTGCGAAGACGGAAGTCGCTATGTTGGCGAATTCAAGTGGGGAGTCAAGCATGGTCTTGGTCACTACCACTTCAGGTAATCTCGACTCCATTCTTTATGACCTTGGTTGGGCTTATCCCTTTTGAGTCTGGGAACTGTGCCACTAGTGTATATTCTGTTCTGTGTGTCCTGGATTATAACACGGTTTACAAATACTCTCTATGCATTCATGAAAATTAGACGTACATCTGATTCCATGTTGTTTGTGTAACTAGGAATGGGGACGTATACGCAGGAGAATACTTTGCTGACAAGATGCATGGATTTGGGGTCTATGGGTTTGCAAATGGTCACCGATACGAAGGAGCTTGGCATGAAGGTAGACGACAAGGGCTGGGAATGTATACATTCAGAAATGGAGAAACGCAGTCGGGACATTGGCAAAATGGGGTCCTCGACATTCCAAGTACACAAAATACTTCCTGTCCGGTATGTCCTGTTGCAGTCAACCACTCCAAAGTTCTAAATGCAGTCCAGGTCTGTCTGTGGAACTTGCTAGCCTTTTATCTCTTCTTGTAAAATAGTCTAGTTTTGAACCAAAGACATTTGTATTCACAGGAGGCACGGAGAGCAGCGGAGAAGGCTTATGATGTAGACAAGGTTGATGAGAGAGTTAACAGAGCGGTTGCAGCCGCCAATAGGGCAGCCAATGCTGCAAGAGTGGTGGCCGTCAGAGCTGCGCAAAAACAATCTAAAAACATGGACAACTTCGCGATTCCTCTTGTGTGAACCGATTCTAGTACATAGGCGAAAGAAGCAGCAGCAATCATGTTGACAAGTATCAACTTTGCCTGCAAGGTCTGGCCTAATCTGCCTTCGGATCTTCACTCAGCGGCTGCATGGATCAGTTTGGCTCGGTCTCCATCAAGTCCCCAAGCAATTTCCGTCATCAATCTTATCTTCCTATCCGCCATTTATCTTGTGCAGAAGGAGATGAATGCTCGTATCTTCTCAGCCATCTCACTTCTCCTGATGGCATCTGCTCCGCCCTTGATCGTCTCGTTCGAGACCGGTTGCTCTCGTTCCCAGCAAGGTCCATCTCCTCTTTCTCGTTGAGTTCTATTTCTCTTGTTTCATTCAGGCCTCCCCGAGTCTATGTCCTTTGCTCCAGTTCTTGTATTCGTTGTTTTAGTTTCTATTATGCTTTGTAATAACAATGTATAATTCTAAAAATTGGTATGAAAATTAACATTTACAGCAAAAAAACAGATAGTCATTCGACGAAAATGGGTTGGACCTCCAGAAAAATTAACCCCTTGTTCATTTCTTTGCAATACACCTATTCATTCTCTGTGATCTCTCATGACGATAAAAGAGATTGTTCTTGTTTCTGTTACAAATCTTGTCTTCCCTTCATTTGTTAAACATTCTGTTTTCTCCGTTCCGTTGCAGTTGGTAAGTGTTTATCAAAGCGTTTCTTTGCTGCTTACGCGCCCTATTGGGCACATATGTTACTTCATAGCTCTCATCGATTTTCCTATGCAGGACTTAAATGGAGTTAAATAATGTGTTATGAAACTTCAAATCTTAGGGTTGTTGTTGCTCTGACTGTGATATGTTTACAGGTGTACTGTTTGGCTTCCGAAATCCGCAAGCAAGAATATGTTGGGAGTCTCATCCAAAAAGCATAGAGCCATCTTGTGTTTCTAGATCTTTTGGATCAAGAACTTTTAAAGGCGCTGGTAAACAGACCCTGCCCTCCAACTTTTTTGTGTTCCTCCGCACATGTCTTAAGACCCTTTGAAGATGTTCGGGCAGGCTTTGAAACCGCATACTAACGTAATTACATCATGTCAACTGTTTGAAGAAATATAAAAGGTCCATGCAGCAATTTTGGCCGTTGTTGAGCAAACACTTTCAAGGATATCACATAGTCAATTAGAACCAGACGCTTCTGTTCTTAAGCCTGGCCGCTCTCAGTTTTTCTCTGGAAATGGCAAGGTAATTTATTGTGATGATAGTTTTCTTCTGTTTGTATGTTTTACTTGTCTTTGATCGTCTATCAATTTCCATCATTCATTGCCATCGATATCTATGCCAAACTTGTGATTTCTATTTTTCATCGCATGCCTCATGGTTCAGTAATTCCAAATACATTTATATTTTGCCTCTTTTCAGTATTTTCGTGAGCAGGAGTCTAGCTGCAAGTCCGTTTTTCTTTCGAAGGTCAGGCGATGCTCAGCTTCTTAATTATTGCTTGTGGAAAAAGTGGTTTTGACATTGATTGCTGACTCCAGATATGACTGTCACTGTGAGATTTATGTTAAAGGACGCAGATGACAAAATATATCACTTAATCCAAGACCGTAGATCAGATTGTAACCAATTTGCCGCTCGATTTATCTTCCTGGACCCTATGACAGAGATAGATAGAGAGAAACAAAGAGATTGAATGATTCGATTGATAAAGGGAAGCAAGTACAGATTGTAGCAAAACGGCAAGCCCTTTGTGATACTCAGAGGTTTACTAGTGTTCTATCAGTTCTTCACTTGAATTGCCTTGAGTAGCTTTCTTCCCTCTCTTCTTGCAATTGTATGTGTTATGTATCTTATCATACTGATACTGCAAACTATCAGGTGTGTCTGATTTTGTCTACAAAGTTTTTTCTATCTATTTTGCTATTAATATTCATCTGTTTTGCAGGTTCTATTAACCTTTGCAATTACATTCCAGGCGCTGCAGCTTCTTCAGATTCCCGCGTTCAGGTTACGACAAATAGTTTCTCTTGTAGCAATTTAATCAGAACAATTGACAAGCGCTAGGCGGGGAAGCACTAGAGTTGTTTTGTTGGCGCGTGGTCTTCCTTTCGTTGGGTGATCACACTTCTTTCATTTGCACAAAGGTGTTTGAAATTTCTTCCAGCGTTTCGTGGCTAGAACTGGTTAGCCGCAGAAGCTTCGTGCCCAACATAAATGAGGGTCTTATTTGTTTTTTTTTTGGTCTAAGTAACAATCACGTAGGTTCTTCTTCTATACAAAGAGCATCCCATAGCTGTAAAGTAAAGATGGATTAAACAAACATGATTTACATTCCATCTTTGTGATCTTCATCTTGGACATCAATTAGAAGAACACCTTGTTCACATTATCTCTATTTGCCAAATGCAGACAATTACACATAAACACATAGATAAGTGGAGACAGCCATATCCCTGTCCACCGGCGTCAAGACCACCACATAGATAAGTGGGAGAACCTAGCTGATTGGCGATTGCACTATTCAAGAGGTAAGGTCCTTCCGTGTCAAGTTCCCAGCTTAGAGACACGAACATCTGCAAGGTGGTACCGTGTGCATTACACTGAGCCTCAGCCTCAGACACGCCTGCCTGTTGCCGCGGAATAACCTGTAAAAGAAGATCCCGGCATTCCAGCTTTATTATAACTAGATTATTATAACTAGATGAGTACCCGCGTATGCCCAAATTTTGTTTCACAATATAATTTATTAAAAAGTGTAGTTACAATTTATTTTATCGTATATATAAATTTTTTTAAAAGATATTGTTTATTTGAATAAACATACAATACATATTTACATATTATGTGGATATTAACTATATATGTGATCAATGGTTTATTGATAAGAAAATGTGAAATATATTATACCTTGTATATATAGAATATATTAAATGGATATAGTGCAAATCAGAGAAGTACTATATAACAAAATTTAATTAGAGAAACTCTTCAAACACAAAATAGATAGAGACGACTCTTTTTAACAGGTCGTACTTGTTCAAGGCGTAGATTTACATAATAGCAATGCCGTGGTTTTATATTTTAATGAGCTTAAATAATTGATTTATAATTCTAATTTATACAGCTGCATTAAATATTTTATAAATATATATATTAGGACTTTGATATTTTCTTAATTTTAAAATTAGTAATGGATCAAGTTTGAATAAAATAAATTATCAAATAATTGTTAGTTTATAAAAAAATTGTTTTAAAGTTTATTATAATATTGTATAAATTTTTCTTCTAACTTTTTAAGGTTCAAAATATCAAATAATTGTTATTTTTACATTTGTATAATTATTTTATAATAATATCTTAAAATATTAATTAAAAATAAGAAAACACTCTTAAATATAAAACATAAATTTTGTTAATGATTTTTAAAAACTACCACAAAATAGATATTCAATAATTGTTTTTGGATATTAAGTATAATTTGTTATTAAAATATATGATTTAATTCTTCATATTTTTCATATTTTTTTAGTATTATGATTAATAATACATTAAATTTATGCATTAACTGTATTTTACATAATTTGTATTATTTAGTTTTAAAAAATGACACATGTTATTTCCACAATAAACCAAAATGATAATATGGCACTCATATGTAGAGAGTTGGCCATCTTTTATAGTACAGAATCGTTTCCATAATCTTCGCAGAAATAGATGTTCATACTATATGGGGTTCCACTTAATAGCATACCTGCAGTCCAACATAGAGGACAAGTGAGTTGACCAATGGTTCATTGTGTCAAGTGCTAGCTGAATCAGCCTCACTAGTTGGGAGAAGTAGCCTCATCTGCTGTAATCATGGGCATGAGCACGTTTCAAAAATAAGTAATGAAACTCTGACTACCAGCAAAAAGTAAAGACTGGGTGCTGACACAAATGGAAAATCAGATTATAAAAGCAGCCTTGCTCTAGTTTGGATGAAATAAAATATGACTCCTTAAATCTTATGTTACATGTCTCATTAGTGTCTCATCAGAGAAAAAGTTCGAAAGACTTTTTGAACGATGAGTCTCTCTGCTCTTTCCATCTGCATCCATGCCTAGCTGCTCTATGGGTTATATAAACAAGTCATTCTTGGATTTGGAAATAAGGTTGCAAAATTAGGATTCTCACATCATGTTTACCAAAGTTTTTCCATCATATTGCTGGAGAAATTATGGAAACCAAAAATCTTTGTGTAGCATGATCTTGGAATACCCTGGGATCTGCATACCATGACAAGAAAAATTAAAAAATTTGAAAATTTAACATTTTTTGTGTGTGAATACACATATCATGACAAAAAAATTATAAAAAAAAACTCTTCGTGCATATTCTCCATATGCGCCACGAGTTTCACTTGCCGGATCATGATCTTCCTATCTTTAGTAAACGAATCGATCGAGTCATTGATCTCTAGTCCTTCGTTAGTCCCGAACTCATCGTCTCCGCCACAGAAAAGTATTTCGAGTTTTTGTGTAGCATGATCTTTTGGAAAACCATGGCAAAAAAAATTAAAAAACTTGAAAATTTAACATTTTTTGTGTGTGAATACACATATCATAAAAAGAAAATTATAAAAAAAACTCGAAAATTTAATATTTTTTTGTATGTGTGTTAATACACACATCTTGACAAGAAATTAAAAAAAAAACTCAAAAATTTAACATTTTCTTGTGTGTGTATTAATATACTTTTCTTGACAAGCAAATTAAAAAAAAAACTCAAAAATTTAACATTTTCTTGTGTGTTTGTTAATACACATATCTTGACAAGAAAATAAAAACTTAGTCCTGCAAACTTAAGAAGGAAAAATTCACAGAAAAAAACTCGAAAATTTAACATTTTTGTGTGTGTGTGTTAATACACACATCTTGGAAAGAAAAACTAAAAAATTCGCAAATTTAACATTTTTTGTGTGTGTTAATACACATATCTTGACAAGAAAATAATAAAAAAACTCGAAAATTTGATATTTTCTTGTGTGTGTGTTAATATACATTTCTTGACAAGCAAATTTAAAAAAAACTCAAAATTTTAACATTTTCTTGTGTGTAAGAAATTTAAAAAAAAACTCAAAAATTTAACATTTTCTTGTGTGTGTGTTAATATACATTTCTTGACAAGCAAATTTAAAAAAAAAACTCAAAATTTTAACATTTTCTTGTGTGTTTGTTAATACACACATCTTGACAAGAAAATAAAAAATTAATTCTGCAAACTTAAGAAGGAAAAATTCACAGAAAGAAACTCGAAAATTTAACATTTTCTTGTGTGTATGTTAATACACACATCTTGGCAAGAAAAATTAAAAAATTCGCAAACTTAACATTTTTTGTGTGTGTTAATACACATATCTTGACAAGAAAATTTAACATTTTCTTGTGTGTGTGTTAATACACACATCCTGACAAAAAATTAAAAAAAAACTCAAAAATTTAACATTTTCTTGTGTGTGTGTTAATATACATTTATTGACAAGCAAATTAAAAAAAAA